CCCGCTGTCTCTCTCGCACTCTCGGGGCGCCCCGTAAGGCAAGCCGTAAGGCCCGAAGGGGTGCGAGAGAGACAGCGACAGTAGCAGTGCATCAGCCTGCAGCGGCGAGAAGCGCCCGTCGGCCGGAGTCCCAGTGGTTGGACAGTTGCCCAATCGGCGGCTTGAGTACCGGCTGAGTAGACGATATCCGGCACACGCCACTGGGCGAAATACGAAGAATAGTTTAGAAATCACGTTTCGTAAAAAAAAGTTGTACTATGCATGACGTCACGATCCGTTCGCAAGAGACGGACATCTGAAACTTGGCGAAAGTTGAGGGGGAGAGGGTGGAGACGGACGGACACAACCGTTGTGCCTTGTCGAGTCGGAGCGGGTCGGAGCGGAGAGACCCCGGGTCAGTCCGGTGTCGGCGTGTAAGTGTACCCCCCGACCCAGAGTACCCCCGGGTACACAACGCCTAGGGCCAAAGTACCCTGGGGTACATGACGACTCGGTTAAATGTACCCAGGGGTACATGACAATGCGGCTAGGCGAAATGTACCCCGGGGTACATTTTGCCTAGGCTTATTGTATCCCCCGCCGGCCGGAGGAGGATGCACGTCGCCTAGGCGCAATGCATCCCCCCCGGATACAAAGAGCCTAGGCGAGGAGTATCCCCTCGGCCGGCCGGAGGGGGATACAAAAAGCCTAGGCGCAATGCATCCCCCCGGATGCAAAGAACCTAGGCGAGGAGTATCCCCTCGGCCGGCCGGAGGGGGATACAAAAAGCCTAGGCGCAATGCATCCCCCCCCCCCGGATACAAAAATCGAAAAAAAAAAGGAAAAAAGGGGGGCCTTTCTCCCACCTCCGCACACAGGTCGGAGGGCCGCCTGCAACTTCGGTGGATCGGGGGAACCGGTGCTTTACAGGCGGCGACCCCAGGGGTTCTCGTCTGTATATGGGCCGGGCTTGAAGGGCGGGTTTGACAGTCTCTCTCTGCCTTGAGAGCCTTTGCTTTTCGCAGGGTGGTCTGTACCAAATGTACACCCGCTGTCCGGCGCTCTCTACCAAACATACAGCTTGTTTAAGGGCCAGCTTCAAAGGACTTATCATCTCCTCCCGACGAATCAAGGAGGACCCACCCGCGACCAATTACGGGTGGCTGGATTGACGGATCGAATACTCCGTCGCTCCAGTGCCGAGGCCAACCCGCCGAAGCGCAGTTGCTTTTTAGACACCCCAGCGGAGTGGCCAGGTGAATGTGACTCTGACCACTACGCTATCAAGCTTGTACGTCTGGCGTCGTGTTGGACGACGGGTTTGAGTTGCAGTGGAAGGAAGCCAGTCGAAAAATGTAATGAAAGGATGGGAGTCGATCCCAGGACCCTACTGCCGGGACCGCACGACTTTTGCCGCTCGCCCACCACGGCCCATGACGAATGGAGCGGCGTGAGGCGGGCTCTTGACGCGACAGAAATGGACCGACCCGGTCAAAATTTCACAAGAAGTTTGGGGAGTCGAACCGCCGACCTCAGCACGGAGAAGCGACGCCTCTACTCCCTAGACCACCACGGCACATGCTGACCGTTGGCTGCAGTCACGGTTTTCAACCACACTGGGCGAGGCAGTAAAATTAAATGTTAATGTTCCTATAGGAATCGAACCCCCGACGTGTGGGACTGTTCTACACGGCTCCGCTCTGATGGCCTCGAACCGTTCCACAAAAGAAAGGAAATCGAAAAAAAAATTTGAGATGCCGGTATTCGAACACCGCACTGTGCAAATGTTACAGACGTTCGATCGCATTTGCACAGTGCGGTGTTCGAATACCGGCATCTCAATTTTTTTTTTTCGATTTCCTTTCTTTTGTGGAACGGTTCGAGGCCACCAGAGCGGAGCCGTGTAGAACAGTCCCACACGTCGGGGGTTCGATTCCTATAGGAACATTAACATTTAATTTTACTGCCTCGCCCAGTGTGGTTGAAAACCGTGACTGCAGCCAACGGTCAGCATGTGCCGTGGTGGTCTAGGGAGTAGAGGCGTCGCTTCTCCGTGCTGAGGTCGGCGGTTCGACTCCCCAAACTTCTTGTGAAATTTTGACCGGGTCGGTCCATTCCTGTCGCGTCAAGAGCCCGCCTCACGCCGCTCCATTCGTCATGGGCCGTGGTGGGCGAGCGGCAAAAGTCGTGCAGTCCCGGCAGTAGGGTCCTGGGATCGACTCCCATCATTTCATTACATTTTTCGATTGGCTTCCTTCCACTGCAACTCAAACCCGTCGTCCAACACGACGCCAGACGTACAAGCTTGATAGCGTAGTGGTCAGAGTCACATTCACCTGGCCACTCCGCTGGGGTGTCTAAAAAGCAACTGCGCTTCGGCGGGTTGGCCTCGGCACTGGAGCGACGGAGTATTCGATCCGTCAATCCAGCCACCCGTAATTGGTCGCGGGTGGGTCCTCCTTGATTCGTCGGGAGGAGATGATAAGTCCTTTGAAGCTGGCCCTTAAACAAGCTGTATGTTTGGTAGAGAGCGCCGGACAGCGGGTGTACATTTGGTACAGACCACCCTGCGAAAAGCAAAGGCTCTCAAGGCAGAGAGAGACTGTCAAACCCGCCCTTCAAGCCCGGCCCATATACAGACGAGAACCCCTGGGGTCGCCGCCTGTAAAGCACCGGTTCCCCCGATCCACCGAAGTTGCAGGCGGCCCTCCGACCTGTGTGCGGAGGTGGGAGAAAGGCCCCCCTTTTTTCCTCTTTTTTTTTCGATTTTTGTATCCGGGGGGGGGGGGGATGCATTGCGCCTAGGCTTTTTGTATCCCCTCCGGCCGGCCGAGGGGATACTCCTCGCCTAGGTTCTTTGCATCCGGGGGGATGCATTGCGCCTAGGCGACGTGCATCCTCCTCCGGCCGGCGGGGGATACAATAAGCCTAGACAAAATGTACCCCGGGGTACATTTCGCCTAGCCGCATTGTACCCGGGGTACAATTCACCTGGCACCTAGGCGCAATGTACCCCTGGGTACATTGAACCTAGTCCTCATGTACCCCAGGGTACTATGGCCCTAGGCGTTGTGCACCCGGGGGTACTCTGCGCCGACGGGTACAGTTCGCCTCCTACACCGGCAGGGTGGTTCTCTGCCATCCGCGCATTTTGGTCGACGCGACAAGGGCCGCAAGTGCACACTGCGGGGCACACTGTCAAACCAGCAACCAGACCCCACACTTCATTCTCCACACTTGGACGTGAGGAGTTTGGCAGTCTCCACGGCATGGTGCGAGCGCGCGGACGCCATCCCCCACCTTGCCCCACGGCCAGCAGTTCGTGCATTTCACGCGTATCACACACTGAGTGCGGCGTTTACCTTACCTAACCTAACCTCGGTTTTCCTGTTTCAGGCCCTCGCTGCGGGTTCGCGCGCTGCAGGCAGGCCGCCTCGCCTGGGTGCGGCGCAAACTCTTTCCGAGTCATTGAAAGTTGGACTGGCCTTGGCGAGTCTCTCCACGTCGTCATCGCCCCTTTCCCCCTCCCCCTCCAGGCGGCGCCACCTTACAAATTGATCGTCGCTTCGCATTAGCAAGGCAAGTCATTTCAAGCACCGGCCCCGTCCCATTTGCGCTGCGAGCCAAAATTAATTTAGAGGTTAATTTCCAAAAGATAATTTAATGAGAAACTGGGAAATTGCGAATCAAGTCCGCAGCAGACATGGTGCCCACGGGAACCCGCGTCGCGAATGCGAGCTCAGCGAAACTGGGCTAAACGTCTCACGAGTAAGAACACACCGATAAGAAGTGTACTTGTGTAAGCACACTCTCATCTCATCAACTGCATTAGTGGTTTTGACGGAGTGTGCCCCCCTTGAGCCCCCCCCCCCCCCCCCCCCCCCCCCCCCGTAGACACGTCCCTGCACTCACACACCACCAATGACAGATGTGTACCCACCCAGTGCATATTGGATGTTGTTGTGCAATCCAGTTTGTGTCTGTGTTCGAGCACGTGATGGCGAGCGGGCTGTTATGCCATCGTTTTCGGTCTTTGGGCGGCCCGGCCGCCCTCGCGGAAAAGGCAGCAAAAGTTGGCGTCCGGCGGCGAAGCGTGTTGCCACTGGCTGACGTGTCGCTGCGTGCAACTGACGTGTCATTTGCGCCGCTCGGTGACGCATGCCGCGTCCCAGGACACGATTGGCGCGTTCCAACCGGCTAACACCTCCGCGCCGGAGGGAGGGAGGGGGGGTACTATGTCTACGATATGGTTCTTGCACGAGATCTCGTTCCCTGAACGATTGCCAGAACGATACTCAAGCGTTGCCTCCCCTTTGCGAGCTGTCAGTGACTTTGGATGGATCATTGCCGCGCGGCAGATGCCATTTGGCTCCCGCATATTCCAACCATTTTCCACGTCTTTTCCAGCGACTTTCGATCAATTCAATCAATCCAAGGGGTTTCCAAACGATTCCTCAATTATTTTCAGGACAGTGTGCCACCCGACTGCAAGTGGGCAACCCCCCGGCCGAGCGGCCCACGCCGAGAAGAGCTGTCGTGAATCGATCCCGAAGGGGAAACGACATTGGTACGCAGGCATTCCAAGAGGGCCGTCACCTTCGGCGGAAACGCCGTCGCGCCAGGCCTGGCAGCTCACTTCTCGGCCTACGGTGTGCCTGCCCCGGACTGCAATTAGGATGCATACACGTCTCGTTCTTACAACACTGGTAAAACAAAGGCATAAAAATTACGCCCTTCAGGGCATAAATACTCTTTTACGCCCTTGTAAGGGCATAAATCGTTTTATGCCCTTGGGAAGGGCGTAAATGGTATAGGAGATTTAAGCAAAATTTTTATGCCCTTCCAAAAGGCATTAACGATTTACGCTGCTCCAGGGGCGTAAATCGTTTACGCCCTTTAAGGGCATAATTTTAATGCCTTTGTTTCATCAGTGAAGTCCCGTTATTCGCGTATCTTCCATCAGCATCGGAGTTAATCAAAAGCTTGTGCGTCAGCCGGGAACAGTGCTGGAGTGAACTTACCGGGGTACTTCTTTTTGTGCTCGGCGTCCACCAGGCGGGCGAGCTCGAAGTACTGGTCCTTCTTCTCCTTGGCCATGGTTTTCCACATTGTCCCCAACCTGCAAGAAAAAATGATGGATGTCACTCGATGGGCGTGCACGTAGGTACAGACAGAAGGCATCGAGGGCAGCTAGCAGAACAAGTCACTATTCATTCAGCTGAAAATTGGAAATCTTCTTAATTCGGATTCGATCACTATCATTGGGCTTGAATGGGTCAAAGTCGATATTTTCTCGGACGAGCAAGCACAGATCCAAAAGGACAACTAACGCCCCCTCCCCCTTTTTTTAGTCACCTGAAAGGTAGGCAAAAAGCAAAAATTGACCCTTGTAAGTAGGCAAAAAGTGCTTAGGCGCACTCTGGATCCGCCACTGAGGCACCTTGTTGCGAAAGACGATGGCCTGCCAATATGCCTCCTCGGCGGGATTAAATACCAGGGGCCAGGAACACCGAGGAACACCGAGGCAAAATGAGAAGTATGCAGTCCCGCCAAACAAGCCCGCACCATTCCCCCGGCCCCCGCCCCCGCCCGCCTGGGCAGAGCAGTGCTGGAATGCATAACTTTCATTTTGTCTCGGTGTTCCTGGCACCACCTGGCACCAAGTCACTCATGGCGGCATCGGCCGCAGCATCGCCTACGGGCACGCTGCTGGAATGTGGCAGAAAATCCAAGCCATTCGGAGTCTGGAATGGCATCCCGGAAAAACATTCTTTTTTTCCTTTTTTTTTACTGCGCTGCCGCTGGATGTTGCTTCACTGATTCCGATGAGAAACAACGCCGTGAGTTTCGCATTGCACCCCACCCGCCAGCCTGACTAACCCCACGCCGGGAGAAACTGACAAAACCAACGAAAAACTGTTGACTTTTTTGGGCGGGGCGAGGGGAACGACCTGTCAAAACAGTCAGGTAACGGAATGTCAGAACCTGGACAGGTTTTTCATGCGTGTAGGAGTCATTCGCACTGTGTACGAGGGAAACGCAGATTCTCTCACTAGGGACGCGTTCCCCTCGAAAACAAGACACACGGTCCTGGACCTCCAACGGCGTTCGCAGAACAGCGACCAAGGGTGACGAATCGCGTGTAAACTCCTTTCTACACTTTCGCCCAGTCAAATAAATCTACTGTTGAGAATTTTTAAAGACTTTTAAGTTCCAGATATTCATCGAGTGGTTATACTGGCGTTTTTTACTTCACCGCAATAAAAGCCAGTCCCCTTTTATGCACTACTTCACTCATCCCACGCACAAACGAGGACCCCCTCCCCTCCCTTTTTCCTCTCAATATCGAGTCGGCGGGGAATCCGTGCCTGACTCGCGAGCTGCAAACGGAGCAGCCTTCCGCCGTATTGCAGATTGATTAGGTTATCCGTTGATGGGGCACAGCTCACTGGTCCACTCGTTGGCTTCCACTGTCGCTACGCTTTGCAGCGCTTTGCTGCGCTTTGCCGCGCTTTGCTGCGCTTTGCCGCGCTTTGCTTGCGCTTTACCGCGCTTTGCTTGCGCTTTGCTGCGCTTTGCTGCGCTTTGCTGCGCTTTGCTGCGCTTTGCTGCGCTTTGCCGCGCTTTGCTGCGCTTTGCTGCGCCTGTGGGGGCGGCCGGCCGCCGCCGTAATGAGTGGGACGGAGTGGGAGTTGAGTGGCAAAACCACGGCCATAACAAGATTCAGGGGGTGGACTAGACACGCGGTGCTGATCGGGCCAGCCTTGGCTGCGATGATGCACACACGGCCTCTTTCAGCGGTTTCGTTTTTTGTTTTTCTTTTCTTTTCTTCAGCGTTAGCTGGTAAACCACTTTCCAGCCAAACTAGGCGTCCCATTGTCAAAACCTTGCGCGCACTTCAAGAGTAAGGATAAAGGATCACGGAATAAGTTCCTAAGGTCGATTCGAGATTGGTGGATTCGAGATATCCAGCGGTTTCCTAAATGATTCATTCTGCAAGGCGCTCCACGTACGTGTCGCGCATCTCCTCCTTCCCCTCCAGAAACGTCGCGCGGCCTCCAGTGACGTCCAGCCCCCCTCCCCCCAAGACACACGCCAACACACACACACACACACACACACACACACACAACGTCCAGGTCAGACACACTCTAACGAACGCCGTCCCCTTGGTTCCAGGTCACACTGTCCCGGCCGTATTCTATTCTCTGCTGAAAACGGAGGCCTGCGCGGCCTTGCGCGGTGGTTCAGAAGGGCTGCTTATTGATCGCCTCTCTCGCACCCTCGCAGAGCCCCATGAGTGCGACAGAGACAGCGACGCCCTTCTGACTCGCTCCTCCGCTGACATCTGCAGCAGCACTCCGCGGGCGGAGAAGAAGGCACCGCGGTGCGCGACGTCGGCGACGTCCCGTCGGCACGTCCGTCGAACTGACAGCGGAGCGACACCACGGTCCTGGATTTCCAGGGCTGCCCTGGAAACGGGGACGATTTCCAGGAGCCGCCTGGGAATACAAGGTACTGCTTTTACCGCGAAATCGCTGTTGTCGCTCTGTCTATCTTGAGGCGTCCCGCGGTCCGCGGTCCCGAGAGGAGAGAGACAGAACGGCGATCAGTCCGGGGTCGGTCTGCAGGCTCTCGCAGCGCGTCACGTTGGGTCAGCATGACACCAGGCGGGCTACGAACCCAGAGAAGAAAAGATTGCAGACTGCACGTTGGCACGTTGGCAGCCCCGCGGGCGGGCTTCCCTAAGCTACGGGGGACGAAGCGCTCTAGGGTGGCCACTCGTCCCAGACGTTTGGTTATAGCCTAGCCCGCTCCAGGTGAGGCCAATGCATAAGCTGTCAGGATAGTTGCGGCCTGTCTGACCGCTATAACACTCTCGCCCAGCCCCTCCCCGTGCCGGTGCGAACGGCTTGACCCAGACGGAAGACAGTCGGACGCCGAACCGGCCGAACGGACGACAGGCGGAGGACAGACGGGCCCGGTGGCGCTGCCTGGGGCTGCCTGAGCTGCCGATGTCAGGCCTCGACTTTCCTGACAGCTTTACCCATCATGCATTGGCCTCACCTGGACTGGGCTCGGCTTGCCCCGCAGCAGTCTCGGACGAGTGGCCACGCCAGAGCGCTCCGGCGCCCTCAGACCGGAGGATAGGCAAGCCCGCCCACGCGGCTGCAAGTGTAAAGTCTACAATCTTTCCGACCCGGGGTTCCTGGTGTACCTGTGTACCATGGGCCATGCAGGCAGCCACAGACAAAATGATTGCCTGCAGTTACGTGCGCGCTTGCCTACGCTCCGATCTGCGAGTGCCGGGACGCTGTAGAGTGGCCACTCGTCCCAGATTACAGTTAGATGAGACAAGACCAGGCTACGTCTTGTCCGCCTGGTCGCCGGCCTGTCCTGCCCACCTCACCGTTGTCCGCTCACCGTTGTCTCCACCTCACCTGCCCTGTTGGCCTAACCTAGCCTGCGATGGCCTGACCCAATTCTGGGACGAGTCGCCTCTCTACAGCGTGCCGGCGCCCGCAGACCGGAGCATAGGCAAACCCGCGCACGCGGCTGCGGGCGCGGAGCCTGCAATCATTTCGGACCACCTAGTAATTCAGCAGTACACACCTGTGTACTTCAGCACACATCTATAGGAATGTACCAACGAGTACACATCTACAGGAAGGAATTTACTAACAAGTGCACATAATCTATAGGACATCTATTGGAGCATGATAGGCAATAGGAGTGTACTCGGACAAGAACACTCCGTTGATCCAGGTGAGAGTGTGCTAACAGACTCCCAAGTACACTCCTCTAGATGTGTACAAAGTCACGGGGCCGCGGCAACGTAGAGAGCAAGAAGGAAGCGGTTCACAAGGAAGGTGGGACGGGCAAGGGGAGGGGGCGAAGGGGGTACGCCTGTGGTGGGTGACTGACTAGCGGCTTGTATCGACATCGACCAGCCCCTCCCCGCCCCTCCCTGCGTGGCACGGCGTGGCACGGCGTGGCACGGCGTGGCGTGGCTGGCATGACACTCCATCCGCCGCGCAGCGGCAACAACAGGACGAGGGGCATCATCGGACCATTCAGGCCTCGCACTGGTTAGCGAAATGTGATTGTGGGTCGGCCAGGGCGACGAACGCTTCGCCCACACCACTCCGAGCCACGCTTGCGCCAAAGCTAGCGCACTCCAGTGGAAATCCGCGAGTGTGACATCATCACGTCTGTTAACATACTGCGAGAAAAAAGGACGGAACATGTCTGGTCAATAATTTGCCTGGACCATCCGTACCTGTCAACTACGGAACTCCAGTACTTTTTTTACCGCACCGATTACATGAGTTCACATCGAACAAGTAATGGACGCGCGATCAGGGCGCGCAAACTTTTGCAATTAACTATATTCCTGAATCTAGCAAACGGCGAGAGATATGAAAGTTATTCATATGCATTACCCCATCTCGAATTCTCTTTAAGATGGGGTAGCAAAACTTTGATATCTCTAGCCGTTGACGAGATTCAGAACAATCGTTGATTGCAAAAGTGTCATGTTTGCTCTGGATCCGCCGCTGCTAGGCCCGGCTTGGCCCTGGCCCGGGCGAGACGACACGGATGTGCGACGCGGCACTCTAACGAACGCCACGGCATTCACGTCCCGATGAAGACACGCGCCTGGATTTCCGGCGCACGCAGCGCGAAGCTCCGAGAACGCGCATATCGTTAGCCAGCCTGCAGACAACACACCGATTCCGAGAATCGTCGTCGTCGCTGTCTCTCTCGCACCCATGCGGGACGACCCACGAGAGCGAGAGGGACAGAGCGACGACAGCGACTCCCGGAATCAGTCTGCCCGCCTGCAGCCACGGGGCACCGCGTTGCCGAACTAGTTCGTTAGGTGACCCGCAGCCTTGTCTTGTGTGACTTGCGATATCGGGTCGCCTCTCGCGCTTCCTCGCGGCGAAGCAAGACGGCCTAACGAACCGGCGTCTAGTGTCACAGCGTCACGGCGCCTCGCAGTGCGGGCACGCCGGGCACGTCGGGCATGCAGCGCACAAGCGGGAGGCAAACATGCGGCCAGTGAGCGCCGCGCTGTCGTTTCAACGCCACGAGTTAGCTCGCCATGACAATAGGCGGACGCTTCCTCCAACACGATGGCGTCCACGGCAGCGACGAACAAAACAAAAACTGTCGCATTTAAAAGGCAAACGCTTTCCCACTGTAGTGACGTGGAGTGTGAATGCATGTAGCTACATATGCCATGAAAACGGGACTGCTTCAAGGGTGACTTCCTTGTCACAAGTGAATGAAATTACAGAGAGAGCGAAGTAGCAAGCAGGGGCGGCTTGGGGGAGGGGGGAGACAGCACCGGGCACTGAGAGCGATCTTACCCCGGCGTACCGACTGACGGTAGGCGCAACCCCACTGTCAAACTTAGTGTGGAGAACTCCTCACTTCCCGGTGCCGAGTAATTCTCCGCACTTGGAGGTGTGAAGTCGGCAGACTCCTCACTTCGAGTGTACGTAGAGTAGTTCACAGAGCCCCTCTCTTGGCGTGCTGCAAACGTGGAGAACTCCACACTTGCAGTGTGCAAACTGCGGCACTTTCAAGAGCGGAGACTTCCACACCTTCGCAAATCACGTCCGGAGTTCTCCGTTCTCCACACCGCTCCACACTTGGTTCCAAAGCGCGGTCCCGTAGGAAAGCAAAACCCCCACATTGCCCCACCCCTTCAGCCCTCAACCTTTAAAATTGTCACTGGAAGGCTTCCCCCGCACCCATGGGCCAGAAGACCGGTGGCGGCCGAAGCTTTAGACGCGTTTTGGGCTACAGAGTCGCTAGACAGGACTCGAATACCGAATGTGTGACCCCGCACCAATGGACTCCTCGTTCCGAGAGCAATGCATTGGTGGGGTCACATGATCGATTCGAGTCCCGTTTGGCGACCCTGGAGCTCAAAACTCGTCTACAGTTTCGGCTGCCTCCACCCAGGGGCGTCGGAAGTGGGGTTCAGTGGGTGCGCTGCGCACCCCCCAAAATAGTCTGGGGGGTGCGCAGCACCCCCCATTTTGATGCACGAGTGAGAGGTCAAAAGGGTAACGATAACGCTAGTCAACACTCCTGAGATGATATTCGATCTAAAACACTTGCTTTGCTTACTGGTTATGATAATTTTCTGTTTTAAATCAAAACCATTTGGCTCGCTTCGCTCGCCAAGAACTCGTAGTATATTTTCTCTGAATTAAGGACCAAAACTAAATCGCGAACCTAGCTCGCTTCACTTTCTTTTTTTCCGTTCTTTTTAAAAAGATTCTGCACAAAAAATTCTCTTTTAATTCCTTTAATATTTTCATAAACGCATAAGTTTAAAGCTTTACCTTGCACTTCCCTTGAAGTCTTACATTTGGTTTATTTTAAAGTAGGGATGTAAGAGCAAGTAATATTACCGGTAAAGAATGGTAAATTACGGTAAAATACGGTATGTTACGCAGGCCCCGGTAAAATTGGTATTTTTAGTAATTTTGAAACTATTGTTAATTTTGAAAAAAGCGGTGTCAAATGTGTAGAAATCGTCGTTTGGGCTGACTTTGGGCAGCCACTGCGTCTAATCTAAGGCGGCTAATCGCTCTCCCTCAACGGGTGACTGGTCTTTGGGCCTTCCTTTAGAACACCTTTGTTACGGAGTGCGATTAGCCGCCTTAGTTTGGGAGCGGTATTGCAGCAAAGTTTGTCGAAACAGTATCAAATGTGTAGAAATCGTCGTTTGGGCTGACTTTGGGCAGCCACTGTGTCTGATCTAAGGCGGCTAATCGCTCTCCCTTAACGGGTGGGTGGTCTTTGGGCCTTTCTTTAGAACACCTTTGTTACGGAGTGCGATTAGCCGCCTTAGTTTGGGAGCGGTATTGCAGCAAAGTTTGTCGAAACAGTATCAAATGTGTAGAAATCGTCGTTTGGGCTGACTTTGGGCAGCCACTGTGTCTGATCTAAGGCGGCTAATCGCTCTCCCTTAACGGGTGGCTGGTCTTTGGGCCTTTCTTTAGAACACCTTTGTTACGGAGTGCGATTAGCCGCCTTAGTTTGGGAGCGGTATTGCAGCAAAGTTTGTCGAAACGGCATAAAATGTGCAGAAATCGTCGTTTGGGCTGACTTTGGGCAGCCACTGCATCTGATCTAAGGCGGCTAATCGCTCTCCCCCAACGGGGTGCTGGTCTTTGGGCCTTTCTTTAGAACACCTTTGTTACGGAGTGCAATTAGCCGCCTTAGTTTGGGAGAGGTATTGCAGCAAAGTTCGTCGAAACGGTATCAAATGTGTAGAAATCGTCGTTTGGGCTGACTTTGGGCAGCCACTGCGTCTAATCTAAGGCGGCTAATCGCTCTCCTCCAACGGGTGGGTGGTCTTTGGGCCTTCCTTTAGAACACCTTTGCTACGGAGTGTGATTAGCCGCCTTAGTTTTGAAGCTGTATCGCAGCAAAGTGGATCAAAACGATAAAATTTTACTTTACCCAAATATACCGTATAATACGGTAAAATACCGTATTTTACCGTTATTTACGTAACTTTGAATTTTACCGGTATTTTTACATCCCTATTTTAAAGGATTGTAAAAGCTGTTTATTAACTTGTTTATTACAAATTGCATAGCCTCAATCCATTTTACACATGTCTTTTGTTACTTCTCGAAACAAACCTGTATTTTTGCTTAGTCCTGAGCTTTTGGTTAGCTTCGCTCGCCAATTATACCGCCTTTGGGAAGTACCGCCTGAAAGGTAGGCAACCCACAGCACAACCCCTTAAATTTGCGCACCCCCCACCCAAAAGTACTTCCGACGCCCCTGCCTCCACCGGTCTTCTGGCCCACTGTGCCCTCCACCCCGCCCCGAGACCCAAGTCAGCAGGCCACGCAACGGCCATGGACCCTCGCATGGACCGCAACACAACATGAACACAACCACCAGCACAGCAGCCGCGCGGACCCATGGATTTGGGCTCCTTCGGCACGTGGCCAGATGGATCCGCTGGGGGGCGGGCGTGCTGACGGGCGAACCGACGGGCGTGCCGACGGGCGTGCCGACGGGCGTGCCGACGGGCGTGCCGAACGCGGAGGGCGGGGTGGGTGCGCTGGCATCCCGGGACGTCCCTCGCGCTATATAGGTCAGTGCGGGCATGCGCACAGGCCAAACCTCAACCACAGCGGTGAGGGCGACGAGCCGGCGCTGTTCAAAGCGCTTTTTCGCTGAGCGGCGTGCCTTCGCCGACCCGACCGCCTCAAACGAGGCGTCGCCAGGTGGAAGATCTGCGGGTCGCCGCGGCCGGGGCGGGGCGGGCGGGGCGGGGCGGGGCGGGGTGGGGCGGGGCGGGGCGGGGCGGGGCGGGGCGGGGCGGAGCGGGGCGGGGCGGAGCGCCCGCGGACGGGGGGCTAGGCAGCCCGCTACGCAGCACCCCCACGCCCGGCGGCATGTGCGGCGATAATTGCCCGAGGCTTGCGAGGCTGGAACGCAATGCCTCGCCGTGTGCCTGCATTGTGTCGAATCGACACGGATGTGGCAGCTTTGTGAGCTTTGCAAAGGATTCCGTATGAATCTCGAGGCAATTAAAAAGGCAGCCTTTGGCGAGGGAGAGCCAGGTGCCCTCCAGGCTGGAGGCTCCAGCCCGCGCTCCACCGTGCCACGAGCGGGAAGGTGTTCCATGCAAAGGCGATACCGTACAGTGCTCCACTTCTTTCCGAGACTTTCCAAAAGGTTCGCGCAGAGGCGCAAACAACTTGAATTCGGTGTAGGTACGTTTCCCTTGAAATAGCGTGAAATAAAGTTGAAATAACGTTGAAATATCGTCGAAATAACGTGAAATGGCGTTGAGCTAACGTGAAATTCTTGGAACAATAACTTAGTTCTCTTTGTGATGAGCCACAGAGAGTCCATGGCATGAGCCGAAGAGGGCCAAAGGCATGAGCCCAACAAAGGCACGGGGCCCCCCTCGGCACCGCGGACAGTGCCCTGGCGGCTGGCTGGTCAAAGCCCTTGAAGTACATGTAAGAGCGTGAGGCGGCGTGAGGAGGCCAGACGGGGGGGATCCGTGGCTTCGGCCTCAAGGCCCCACGGCCCTAAGTCTCTGCCCAAGACACGCCTCGGCTTTTCTCCCGTTCAAAGGGTGGCGGTGGTGGCCGACACGGCGAAAACTGGCGAAAACGGTCGCTGGGTTTTCCAGGAACTCCCTGGAAATCACCTATGTTTTTACTACGAGTTACCTGGGATACCAGGAACCGTTCTTGCCGTGCGAAGGAAATAACTAAAGTTAACTAGAGGGCAGTCCGAGGGGCACTCGCGGACTGATTGGTGGCCAACCTCTGATGCCAGGGTGGGTGCACGGGGGCGGTAAGGGCGAATTTATAGGGTGCGCTGCAAGGCTTTGCCCTTTGACCCCTGCAGAGCCGCGTAAGCACTTAACCCCTGCTAAGTCGGCAAAAAGCAGCACATTGCAAGAAGGCAAAAGAGAGATACTTTGCCCCTCCCTCGGGCCCATTCTGGATCCGCCCTTGCACCGGCAACCCGTAGCGTACCCGGCTCCCCGGCTGCCAGCGCCCCGCAGAGCCCGGCCTGGACGCCGTCGCGACGCCAAGCTGCGCTAGCTACGCCGGGCTGTGGCCCTTGCTGTAGCCCGCCCAATTTCCCCCCCCCCCCCCTCCTTGCCGGCCTTCCCCAGGCCTTCCCCAGGCCTTCCCTTCCCGGCCTTCCCCTTCCCGGTAATCGAATGCCGAAGCAGCGCGAAGCAGCCCGGCCACGCGGCGCCGGCGCCATCTAGCGGCGGACGCGCCAAGGCCGTGGCGGTGGAGCCGCGCGGGGTGGCGGCGTGGCGGCGTGGCCTGCGGGGAATGCCCGCGCAGCCAGCCAAGCGGGGAGGCGCCGATCCAAGGGGCCGCGGCACGCGGCGGCACGGTGGGCCCTGCGACCCTTTTCGCCAGTTTCCGCCGAGCGGGCTACCACCGCCACACTTTGGACGAGAGAAAAGCCGAGGCGTGTCTTGGGCAGAGACTTAGGGCCCCCCCAACCTTTGAAGAATCCTGTGCACAAAAAAATTTCGAGTGGTTGCCCCCTCGCCTCCAGAGATACCTCCCCACCGACCTGACGCTGATGTCCTTGTTGCTCTCGCGGGGGTTCTCGCAGGACAGCTTCTTGCGGAACTCGTTGGCGAACAGCATGAAGGCGTTGGGCGGCCTGGGGATGCGGTCCTTGCGCGAGAAGGGGCCGCCGGCCCCGGACGCCGCCTCCGCGCGCGCCGAGGCGGCCGACGCGGACGACGCGGCCGAAGCGCTTGCCGCGCCCGACTGTTGACCTGCAGAGCGAAAACACGGCCTTCAGGCTCATTCCCAGTGGTTTTCGTCCCTCTGTCTCTGTCGCACTCATGGGGCGTCCCGCATGAGCGAGAGAGAAAGAACGACGAAAACGACTCTCGGAATCAGGCTGATGCAGGCTGCAACTGATCTGTGTGCACGGCATGCTCCACCTGGCGAGTCCTACTTCAACATGGCACTGCTCTCCGTTATTAAGCGCGGCCCTTGCAGCACGCAGTGCGATGCAGTGCGATGCAGTGCGATGCAGTGCGATAGCCCCGGTCAGTCAACCCCTAGCCACGATGAAGCGTACATTCAGGCATGCTCCAGATGGACAACACGCACACAGTTCGGTTTGCGGAGAGCAGGCAGGCTAGTTTCGAAATCGCTTCGTCGCTCTGTCTCTGTCGCACTCAAGGGGCGGGGCGGCCCGTGCGAGAGAGACAGAGCGCCGAAGAGCGAGAGAGAGCGCACCGTCGCGGCCGTCCCGGTTGGCGGCCTCGTTGACGCAGGCGAAGGGCCGCTTCAGGGGGTTGGCGATCATGGAGGGGCGCAGGGGCAGCGGCTCGTCGTCGTCCGGGGGGTCGGGGCTGATGGAGGCGCTGCACACCGTGAACACGTTGCTGTTGAGGGTGATGCCGTCGCCTGGGAACAAGGAAACATGCAATCATAGAACCTGCGTCTCGTGGCTGCCGTGGCCCAGCCAGTGCGGCAGTGCCCCTCACCCCGCCCCTCACCCCGCCCCTCAACCCGCCCCTCACCCCGCCCCTCACCCCGCCCCTCACCCCGTCCTGCGATCCAGAAGAGCGGTTTTTCGCTGTCTCTCTCGCACCGTTAGGGAGAGGCGTGAGACAGAGGCAGAGCGTTGGAACGGCTCTTGAATGGCTCGGCTGTTTGAGCCTAGGGGGCTAGAGGGCCCTCTAGACGCCCTCCACGGATCGAACCCTCCATTCAAGCCAAGCCGCGCCAGCCCGCTTACCTGAGGGGGACCGCGGCGCGAGGCCCACCACGGGCACGGCCTGCACGGCCAGCGCGCCCGACCGCCGCGTCAGGATCCTGGTGGTGTGCATCTGCAGCGGCCGCGTGGACCGCGTCGGGCCCAGGATGGCGATGGTGCCGCGCGACAGGGCACGCCCGCCTGGAGGAGCAAAGGACGGTCAAGACACTCCTCTTGACGAAGCAGAGCTCTCTGGAATGTCCTGTCGGACCGACCGCCCAGGCCGCGACGCCGCGCGGTCACTCTACGCCACTGCCAGCAGGGCGTGCAGTGCGACTGGCCGCGAGGGCGCCACCCCGCTACGTTGTCACCGCGGCGGCGGCTCTAATGATGTTCGCAAATCTGATTGGCCAACTGCCCTTTGAGGCTGCGACCGAGTGGGGTACTGCGGCCTGTCGAAGCCCAGCGATTCAGGAGGGTCGTTTCGTCGCTCTGCCTCTGTCGCACTCAAGGAGCTCGCCATAAGAGCGCGAGAGAGACAGAGCGACAAACCGCTCTTCTGATTCGCTCGGCAGAAGCCAGCCTCGCGGCCGGTCCAACAGCCAATTAGAGAGCTCTGGCGAGAAGATGGTTTCGGCGGACATCGCTCTGGACGCGGTTCAATCTCTAGTCCTTTAATGAGACTGGAACGACAGCCCCAAATGAATTGCCTTTCGAAGAGAAAACAATTTGGTGCCACCAGATGCAAGAGAATCCCCCTTGGCCTGCACGGCCTGCTTCGTCGCTGTGCCTCTCCCGCACCCCCACCACCGCCCCACGAGTGCGAGAGAGACAGAGCTAATCAGCGTGCCGCGAAAAACGGCCTTACATGAGGCCTAGAGAGACTGGAGAGTGGAGTGCTGACTAAAGCGAGGTCTCAGCCGTCCGGCCCGCGCTTCCTCTGCAGACTAGACTTATTCCGCGAGTCGTTTTCATCGCCCTGTCTCTCTCGCACTCATGAGGCGTCACGTCGAGGGGGTATGCGCTCTCTGAACCTGTGTACCGACTATTACGCTATTACGCTCTATTACGCCACAAATTAATCGGAATTTAGCTAAAAACGGCCTAAAACACACCAAAATTAATAAAATTTTGACAATTTCGGCTATTACGCGACTATTACGCGTATTATTACGCAAGCTATTACAGATAGAGTGTACCGACTATTACGCGAGTGCATACCCCCTCGCGTCACGTGTAGGTGCGAGAGAGACAGCGCGACGAAAGCGACTCTCGGAATCAGTGTGCTGATCTCTGGAAAACCTTAACAGTGTCACGTGATTTAAGGGCGGTCCCCTCCACCCGGCGGCACTCGCAGCGGTTCGCAGCCCCTGCGCGCCGCGCGCCTCGCGAGGCGGGCCTACACCCTAACCTCTCCCGCGGCCGCGGAGCTTTGCGGCTCGCGACCACCAGTTGCACCAACAATCGCACTGCCACCTCCTCCACCACCCTCCACCACCACTCAACCCCCGCGACACTCTACTTGACTGGTCAGTCACCGTGACCACACTGTAAGCAAATATCACTGACCCGAAGCGCACCTGTTTCGCGACGCCGAGGAGGCGGCTTTCCACTTTAATTAAACCACTGGACGAGCCTTACACAAAACCAACCACTTCCCAACACGTAGCAGTACCTCATGATCTGGGAGGGCAGAAACTACAATTAACGCCGAGCTCAATATAATCCTCAAGTATATGCTGAGAGTTGCGAGCGACCCTTGAGATGAACGGGAAAATGAGAGTAAGTTGAACATTGAAAAAATAGCAGCCCGAGCAGCGATCATTGAACACAGCAGGGCACTTCTCATTCCTTCAAAATAGCCCGCGATTCGTTAAGGAAAATTTATTTTCTAAGAGTACTTACCTTTGTCCCGGCATCCACTCCCTAAAAAGACACTCATCGTAAATCAAAACTTGATGTTGCAATTCAGAACTTTGAGAAACATTACCAGAAACCGAAAAGATTTTGGCTCCAACAAAAACAACCGAAAACAATGCGCACAAAAATTGCACCTTTCTCGAGATTAACAATTAACTTCTTAAACAATCCAGATCCAAGGCCCTCGCCGGCCGGCTTCGGAGATTATTGAGACGAGTGTTTTGTTTCTTTGCTAGCAGGGGATCGTTGCTAAGCAAATGGCCAGCCGTGGTTTGCACAAGGCGCGGTTCAAAGTTGAGCCAATCCAACTAACACCAAACATACGGGAAAATAGCAAAAACACTTTTTTGGCTACTGATAAATCGCTGTGTCAGCATGGGCTGAGGGCGAAGCAACAACAACTGAGTCCCACAGAAGAAATATGCCACCGGACAGGTTAGTTATTCTAGGCGTTTGGAAACATTTGAATGATCCGGCTCTGTTGAACGTCGATGTGGAGTAAACTTAAGCTCCTACGGGCATCATAAAGCTTGAAGCATGTCGCGCCGTTCTGGAAACATCAAACTTTTTCGTTTTGTTGTTCTCCCTGTCCTTTGTGCGGTTCCTCGCTGTGAGGCTCGGTGACTTTCCACCGTGAATCTATGAGAAATCGTTCGTGCATCGCTTGAGTTTGAGAAACGCTTCTAGCGTCGGCTTTCTTCTAGTGCACGCAGTTGTCAGTGCTGCACAGCCGTCGTTACCGCTCACCGTCGTAGGTAAAGTTTGAATCAATCCTTTCTCCAGAGGAAGTGCTCGTCTTCTCGGATCATTTTCTAAAAATTGGAAAGTTGTCTTGTGTCTGTCTCGAACCGGCATCTTCTTTCTAAAGGGTGCCCCAGGGTGCCGCGCCTAGGTAACAGCCTCTTTGGAGACGTAATTACTACTCGTTCCCTTGCCCCGATTCCTATCGCTAATGCTGACTCATTTTAAATTGCAGTCGGACCGGCTAGAAATGACCTATTATTTTGATCCTTCACCTGGATAATCTCATGACAATCGTATCTCTAACCTCTGGACACTCGTGGAATTTCAATCATTATTTATTTATTTTTCCGTCCTACTTATTAGTAGTGCAGCATGCCATCTATTTTAAACTTAATTGTACGTTTGAGGCTGTCCGCACAGCTTCCTAGCCGGTCCCTAGTGCCATGGGAGTGCAGTTAGGCTTTTACTGGGACTATTGTGTAGAAAACTAATGTGCCACTGTTTCATTGCAGGTATTGGATGAATTGTTTGCGATGGAGAATCCAGTGGAATCTACTGAATCCATGCTCTTAGATGAAGTAATGGAGGAAGACAGCCTGGCGGCACCGGATAGTGGTAATGCAAATGAAATTGGGTCCCTTGATACTTTGAATAGTGCGATTAGTGAAGCAGCAGTGGCTACTGCCGATGGAGAGCTTCCTGAGCACTTGTTAGAGACTGAGCGGGAAGCACCAACTGACATTGTTAATGATGAAACTCTTACAGAAGACATTGACGGAAACAACGAAGAGTCTGTGATGGCACAGCAACTAGACAATGAAGCTGAAAGTCTAGTGGAAGGTGATCGTGACACTGAAATGGCAGCAGATGGTGGAGAAGAAACTAGTCGTTCTTTTGAACATCCAGAGGTTTCTAGTCTTGAGCAAGTGGACGAGCCAATGGAAACACATGATGAGGCCATCTCCACCACAGATGATTTTCTGTCGGAGACCAAAGCTCTCATAGTGGAAGGTGAACCCCCACATCAGCTCATGGAAGAGGCTGACGCAAATGAGGAGGAAAATACTGGAGAGGATTTGGTTGGAACTAGTGGAATTGAAGAGCCCTCTGATGTTCCTGTAACTGCAGCTGATGAAGCCATGTTTGAGTATGTTCAACATAAGTCAGAAGAACCATCTCAAGCTGAGGCTGAAGAAGGAATGCTGCTTGAGCAGCAAGAAGAATCAGGTGTGCAAGAGGCTCTTGATCCGCTGCCAGAGCCACAAGAAAATGAATTGCAACCAGTGCCTGAGAAAATGGAAGAACCAACTTCTCCTAGCAACAACGAAAATGCTACAGAACTGTCAGAACTTGCTGCAGAGGACAGTGCTACAGATACTGGTGACACTCTAGAGCTGCCTCTTTCAGAAGGCGAAATTGATAGTTCTGCTGCTGCAAACGCAAGTGGTTTCACAATTTTGGCTGCAGGAGATCACATGGGTGGATCATTAAGTGATCTGAATGGGAAATTAGTAGTTAACCCTGACGGCACTGTTCATCTCCTCTCTGGGCAAGAAACCCTTCAGGGCATGCAGTTGATGGAAGGTGACGACAAACCTGAGGAAGAAGCCAATGGAGAAGAAACAGCTGCTCAAATGCAGGAAAGAATTAGAGCTCAGCTCCATGAAGCTCTCATGAAGCAAGAAGAGATTAAACAGGAGCAGGAGGAGAGAGAGCCAGAGACTTCTTCCGATAGTCAACCAGGTGCAGAGTCTGATGCTCTGGCTACTCTCGCTTCGGCAGCCCTTCATCACCAAACTCCCTCTAATGGGGTGAAAAATGAGGTATTTATGTGTTGTGTAAACTACTCATTCGTTTGAGTTTTTATTTTTCATATTATTGGGTCTATTTTTTAAACTTTTGTCTTCTTAATGTTGCAGGTGGAGTCTTCTGACGTTAAAAATGAAGGTGATGAACCACAGTGGATGGATGTGGGGATTTGTAAGGGGACCCACTGTATAGTGCGGACCTTCTTTGTTCCAAACGAAGAAGGTCAGAGCTGGGATAAAAACTGGCAAGGCGTCACTACCAGCACTCTGCCAGATCACAGAGCATTAGCAAAGTTGGAACTAGAAGCTGGAAAGGCTTACAAGTTCCGTGTTGCTGCCATAAACTCATCTGGTCGTGGACCCTGGAGTGAGGTTTGTAATTAAATTTTATGGACTTATTACACTAGTTTGCAGTTTTGGGAGATATATTCTAATTTTATCTTGGGACAGATTTCAGCCTTTAGAACTTCTATGCCAGGTGTACCTAGTGCACCATCTTCTATCAAGATATCAAAAACAACAGAAGGAGCACATTTGACTTGGGATCCACCCTCCGCTGCATCTGGCCAAATTGCGGACTACACTGTATATATGGCTGTTCGGAAAGCTACAACTGATTCACAGGTGATTATTTTTATTGGTGGAAGCTTTTCCTTTTATCTGAACAGTTAATTATTTACAGTAATCAATTTTTGTTGCTTTGATCATTTTTTTAAAACTTTTTATTTTTATTTCTGTTTAGGTGGTTTCCAGTGGAGCAACTCAGTTAGCATTTGTAAGAATATACCAAGGTGTAGAAAACCAATGCTCTGTAGGCTTTGAAACACTAAGTGAAGCCCATATAGATGGTGGCGCCAAACCAGCAATTCTCTTCCGTATTGCGGCTAGGAATGAGAAAGGAATGGGACCAGCAATTCAAGTGAGGTGGCTGCAAGGTATGTCTTTTGTCTTTCTGTTTGTTTATTCTCAGTATGTTTGTTCAGTTTTTGGAGAAAAAACATTTCATTTCATTTTCTAGATGGAGCTGCTGCCGTCAATCCTGCTAATAAGGCAGCCACTGCACCAAGGCGTGTGGGACCTGAAATTAAACCTCATACTAGTATTAAGAGGCTGAAGGGTGAATGTGACTAACGCAGACCTCATTGACAAAGTTAACTCAACTTTCTGTTTTTATTTGTTAATTATGTAAGCCAAAAAGTGTTCAACGATGTGACAACATTGTATAGTTTTACACGCTGCACCATTATTTTTTTCTTTCTTTCATTTTTTTATTTGTTGTTGATTGACAATTGTTTCAAATTTGAATACGAATGTTTTCTTTCATCCCTTTATTAGATAACACTTCTTGGAATAAAGCGTCGTTTTAATGATCTCAGTCGTTCTTGTCGTCTCTACATCACACAATCCTTCTCGCCCTACCCGATGCTCTTGCGGTGGGCCGAGGCCAGTACCTCTGGTCGCTGTCTCCCTCGCACTCAGGGGACGTCCCTTACGGGTGCGAGAGAGAGAGAGACAGCACGGAAGGAATGTTCTATGGAATCGCGCTGCGGCGGAGGGAGGAGCGGCGACGGTCGTCCTCGTGACAGGACCTCTCCAATATCCAGCATCGGTCGGTGGAGGGCAGACTGGGCGGCGTGACTCCGGCACCGCTGGCTGCTGCCAAAAGCCACAGGCGCGGAGCAGAGCGCAGCGCAGCGCGGCCCTCTAAGCCGATCCCGAATGAAACTGTATCCGGGCTCATTTGGCAGCGGGGATACAGCAGGGCGTCCTCGGGCGTCTCTGCCCCTCCCATCCCATCAGCGTGGCGAGGAGGGAAGGGGCCCCGCCCAGCTGGTGCCTTGTGGTGCCTGGCAGTGACGCGGAGGGCGTCCGCCACCGTCCGCGGTGGCCGATCGTGCCGCCACCGCGATAAGCCCTTGCCCGGCCCCAGCAGCCTCATTCCGAGCTCTGCTCTCGTCGCTCTGTCTCTCTCGCACTCATGGGGCGCCCCGTGCAGGCGCGAGAGAGACAGAGCGACGCAAGCAGGGTGCCCCAGGCCGCAGAGGCAGCGCCGAACCCCTCTTAGCGTCAGCGCGGCGCCATGCACAGCCCCGTTATGCTTAGCGGTTTGCGTTCCTCGAAGATGCGGACACTCTGGACCGGGCCGAGGAATCCAGTAAATCATTCCCGCCTCTTAATGGGAGCACCTCGAAGAGACAAATTTTGATGGCGTCTGGCGATGGAGAGTCAATATACAGGTCCTTACGGCCGAAAAAAGGGGGAGGGGGGGGGGACTTCCCCACCACCATCTCGAAGGCACAACTTACTTAGGAAGTGGACTGCACAAATAACATTTTTCCCACTTTATAGCACATGATGCCTTTCTATTAATCTTAAGCCTTATATTTTATTTTCTTGCACTTTCAACACAAAAGTTGAACTTCACTCGTCCATATCGGCACCCATCTCCTTCATAGCGAGTCGCTTCGGTTGCCGCATTTCCGAACTACTTTCTGGATTCGCCGCGGCAGGGCAGTGCTGGGAGGGACTGTGGCTGCGAGGTGCCGCGTGCCGGGCTGCTCAGCTTATCCTCACACGTCCACGCCGGATGACAGGCGCCTGTCCCGTCCCGACGCGACTCGCCGCCATCGCCGCGGTGTCGGTGTCGCGTCGCGCCGGCCCGGACCGCGAGCAACGTGACTTGATCGGCCCGGAACGCACGCACGCTCGGCGACGCATGGACGGGCCGGCGGGCCGGGGCAGCACATCCCCAGAATCCCCAGTGGCCCGGTCCCGACTCCCGGGCACGACCGGGTCGACCCGAACCCAACCCGCGGTGAGCCGCCGCAGTCACAGTCTCACGCCGCGCGACGTCGCGGAAGGACGTTCACGTTCACGTTGACCTTCGACGCGGTGCGCGCCGCTCCTCGCCGACGCGAGCCTCCACCTTCCTGTGGCGACGCGCCCTCGCCATGCCACTCTCAGTGCTGTGTCTTCTGCTGGCTGCTGTTCTCGTCCTGGCCGGCGGGCTCAGGGACCACGGCGCGGACGCGACCTCGGGGCCCTCGCTCAACAGCACCGCGGTGCCCCGAGTCACGGACGGCACCACGCAGCGCCTGGACGCCATCAACGCCACCAGCAAGGTCGCCGTCAAGGCCGTCCCCGTCAAGGTCGCCCCCGTCAAGGCCGTCCCCGTCAATGCCTCGCGCAAGGCGGAGGGGAAGTCCAAAGTGAGCACCGCGTCGACGGGCAGGGCGAACGGCGCCGCCGCCAAGCCCAAGCTCATGGTGGTGTACGCCAGCAAGGCGGCGACGGACAACGAGACGACGCCGCGCACCATGCTGTTGTGGGAGGACGACGAGGATGGTGCCCTGGACCGCGCGGACAAGGACGTCTCCGAGGAGCCGAGCGCCGACCTGCAGCCCCCCATGGAGGACGCCTCCAGCTCGGTCCGCGGTTTCGACTACCGGAACCCACAACTAGACGACGCCGGGACTTCGGCAGGATACGACTACCGCAAGCCCCAGCAGGACGAAGCCAGGCCCTCGGCAGGATACGTCTATCCTCGGCCTCAAGAGGACGAATCCTCGGCAGGTTACGTCTACCCGAAGCCTGGTGGGGGATACACCTACCCCCGTCCCCAGCAGGACGAATCCAAGACTGGCTACAGCTACCCACGGCCCGTCCAGGCCGAGCCATTGGCCGAGCCGACGGCAAGCACTTGGACCCCGCTCGACGGGGACTACCTGCCGCCCAAGGAGCTACTTCCGCTGGAGGAGCCGGCGCGCCCCGCCTGGCCCTATGGCCCGAGCAGCACGCCGTCGCGGCCCGCCCCCGCCTACCTGCCCGCCAAGGTGCCCGCCATGCAGGACGAGTTGCCCTTCAGTTACAACCCACCGTCAGGCGCGCCGGTGGACTCTTACATCCCCCCGAAGCAGCCCCTCAGGGACGACGCAGAGGTCGACAGTTACCTGCCCCCAAAAGAGCCCCTCCACGACGACGTTCCCTCAAACTCGTACGGCCCCCCAAAACAACCCCTTCGCGACGACGTTCCCTCAAACTCGTACGGTCCTCCGAAACAACCCCTTCGCGACGAGGTTCCCCCAAACTCGTACGGTCCTCCGAAACAACCCCTTCGCGACGACGTTCCCTCAAACTCGTACGGCCCCCCAAAACAACCCCTTCGCGACGACGTTCCCTCAAATTCGTACGGCCCCCCGAAACAACCCCTTCGCGACGACATTCCCTCGTACGGTCCTCCGAAACAACCCCTTCGCGACGAGGTTCCCCCAAACTCATACGGTCCTCCGAAACAACCCTTTCGCGACGAGGTTCCCTCAAACTCGTATGGCCCCCCGAAACAACCCCTTCGCGACGACATTCCCTCGTACGGTCCTCCGAAACAACCCCTTCGTGACGAGGTTCCCTCAAACTCGTACGGTCCTCCAAAACAACCCCTTCGCGACGACATTCCCTCAAACTCGTACGGGCCCCCGAAGCAGCCCCTGGCCGATGTCCTCCCGCACCCCGAGAGTGCCGTGCAGCTCCCCGAGACGTACTTCCCCGCCGCCCGGCCCGGCGTGGCGTCGCTGGACGCGGGCACGGCGCAGCTGGCGCACCTGGCGCAGCCTCGCCACCTGGACAACGCCCTCCGCGTCGGCGCGGCGGACGAGCACGGTGTCCGAGTCTCAGGTACGCTGGCTTCGACTGGCGTGCTGCTGCGGCACGCTGCGGCAGCCTGAGTTCAAAGGATCTCTTCGTCGCTTCTCTGTCTCTCCGCACGGGTCGGGATGGCCCACGATTGCGAGAGAGAGAGTTCCCTGAAACCCTTCTCTGCCGCGACAGATATGAGCTGCTTCCGCACCGCGTCCCGCGCCCGCTTCACCGCCACCATCACGTCGCAGACGTTCGCGGCGTGGCCGCCCGTCCTGGAGGCCGCGGCCGGCGGCGGCGCCACGGGCTGCAGGGTCATCGCGGACCCCGCCGACCCGCACCACCGCTTCCTGGTGGACCTCAGCAACCCCGACCTGACGCGGTGCGGCGTCAAGGGCTGCTCCGCCGACGGCGAGGTGAGTCCAACGCCGTCCACCCCACCGGTGGAGGCGGCGAAAATCCTACTCCAGAGCCGCTGAATGGGACTCGAACCGGACGGTTGACCCCAACGATGGAGGTTCAGTGACGTTCTGTTCAAGTCCCATTCAGCGACTCTGGAGTAGGATTTTCGCCGCCCCCACCGGTCTTCTGGCTGGCCAACTGTGGCCCGCCCGGCTCCGCCATCGTGAAGTGACTGCCGTCACTGTGAACCAGTCAAGCGCTCCACCACTCCAGGCTCTGTCTCTCGTATTCCTGCGGCACACTCCACGAGTGCGAGAGAGCCAGAGCGAGAAGTGCAGGCCACAGAGTCGCTTCATCTTCCTCTCTGTGCTTGCCCTGCCGCAGGCCAGGCTGTGCGCGCGCCTGCTGATGCCCACCCTGCCCGGCCTCCGCCTCGCCTCGGACCCCGTGCTGCTGCTGCAGTGCTCGCTGCAGCCCGCCACCGTGTCGCTGCTGCAGCAGGCCAGGATCTCGCCGGTCCAGCCAGCGTACGCGTCGACGACTGTCTACGACTGTCTACGAGTCGCGCCTTTCCGATGCCACACTGCACACTGATTCCATGCTGAGGGTCGTTTTCGTCGATCTGTCTTTCTCGCACTCACGGGCCGTCCCGTATCGGCGCGAAAGAGACAGAGCGACGGAAGCGACTCTCGGAATGAGTCTGCTGCACTAGAAGGGAGGCTGTAACGCCTGACTCCGCTCCACTCCGTTTCCAGGTCGGGCCGTTCCGCCGGGGTGGTGCACGTCGGCGGCGAGCGCGCGCCCCTGCACGCGCACCTGCAGCTGTTGCGGCGCGGCGGCGCCGGCGAGTTCTCGCGGCCCATGCAGCCGGGCGGGGCCGTGCACCTCGGCGACGAGCTGCAGCTGCGCGCCGTGGTCCGGCGTGGCGACGGTCAGTGCTCCAGCGTGGTCCGCGCACAGTGGGCCAGAAGGCCGGTCTGGCCCACTGTGCGGCGCGACTCTGTCGAACCATGCGAGGAGAACCCCCCACTTTTGAAATGCGGAGGTGTGGACTTTGCAGTCTCCGCTTTTAGAAGTGCAGAGTTTGCAGTCTGCTCACTTCAAGTTTGACAGCGGGGCGGCGCGGTGCCCGGGCGCCTGCAGTCGACAGGATAGGCCACCCTACGCTTTAGGCTACGTACGCGCGTGGAGGGGTGCCTACCCTGTCTTCCGCGGGCGCTCGCCTCGGACTTGACTTGACCTGCCCTGCGGCGGGGTCGCGTTCCGTCGTATCGTGTTGGCAGGCTGGCAGTCCTCCCGCCTGTCCGACGTGGTGGTGCGGCGCGGCTCCGAGGCCGTGCACCTGGTGTCTGCCGACGGCTGCTCCAACGCCGACATGCGCGCCGTCAGCCCGCGGCCCCAGGCCTGGCTGGCGGGCGACCCCCTCGTCTCCCTGCTCAACATGAGGGTCTTCATGTTCAGGGGCATGCAGGACGGCGACCAGCTCGTCCTCTCCGCCAGGGTGGTGGCCTGCCTCGACCGCGCCGACTGCAAGACCGCCCCGGTGAGTCGCTGGGGGTTGGACCAAGGGTGGCACTCGAGACTCAAGCGAGATGTCCGAGGGGTGGCCGGTGGCCCTCTGTAACATTTTGTGGGTGTACAATGATTGTGGGAATGCGCTGGATTGTGCAATATTTATGGCGTCTTTGCTACATATTTCGCCTCCTTTCATGCGTTTTGCCACCTGAATGTGGAATGTGTTCAAATTTTGTAAATCCACGAGGGAAGTTGCTCCCCCTAGGGGATATCGGCCATCGTGTTGAACTTGCACCATGTTGTCTTGCAGGAGAGCTGCGACTCCGCGGGCCGGGGCGGCCGGGCCAAGAGGAGCAGCGAGGGCCGGGACGGCTCCAACACCACCACCTCCTTGGAGGAGAGCTTCGCCTTCTCCGTGCACGTGACCTCGACAACACCACACCTCCTTGACGGTGCGTCTTCATTATCTACGAGTTGCACTTACGTTGCGGCGCGGCTGTTTACGCAAATACTATTCGACTCGCGACCAGATAACTGCCCAATCACTCAAGAACGGCACGCGGCCGCGGCTGCATGGCCACTCGGAAAGAATTACACTGAATTCCCTTCGCTATGATCTACCTATTTCAGTTTTACCCATCATTAGTGTTGTTGTTGTTGTCAGGAAACCATAGCTCACAATGATTACAGCCAAAATTTCGCCCCCACCCCCACAAAGAACGGCCATAATTTTTACGTTGTTTTGACGTGCCTTATCTTTGCCTCCAGGAAAAGGAAGTGTCGGCGACTTCGATCGGACGGCCGTCATCTTGATGGTTGGGGTCTTGCTTCCGGTGCTCCTCGTCCCCGCCGCCACTGCGATGCTCTGCCACCGGAAGCGGACGCTCCGCGAGAAGGCGGCCCTGACGGCCGCTCCCGCCGCTCCACTGCAAGTGCCTCCGCCGCCGGTCTTCCCTGCACCCCAACTCCCACTCGAGAACGGGTTGCCCGACTGTTGTAATGTCCCAAGCTGATTAAAGTTGTTTCTCCGAAGTTGATCCGATGCTTTCCTCCTCTTATGCGACGAAACTATCTCAGACGATTCGCGAAATTGAAATTGTTGCACAATTGCGTGTAAGCGAGTGGCGCGAAAGACAGATGACTGTGAGGAGCACGGCCACTGCGCATTACTGAATCATTTTCGCGGGACTTTTGGTCCGAGTATTTGTTTGAGGTTTGAGTGTCCTCCGCGATAGCGCACTCACGCCGATGACACGTTGCACTGCAAACGAGGTAGTTGTTCTATTTTCCTGCGTAACTCTGCGGAGGGTTTGCAGTTCTCTTCGTCGTTACGTAAAGTTACGTTATTCGTCGTAATTCGTCGTTTATTTTCGAAGGTTTGAATTTCTCATGTCGGCGGCGAGACTGCAGTCCCATGAGCAGGCTGGCCAACAGTTCCCGCCGCCGGCCGCAAAGACGCGCACGTGATTCCCGCAGTCCGTCGGGCGTGGCGGGACGGGCAGGCACTGCCGCGGGTTGGCCAGCCTGGCCACGGACGTCGCAGTGGTCCGTATGCAAAATGGCAGCGTGACTTTTGTTGTGTGTGTAGCTGTTGCTCCGCGATTCTAGCAAATACGGAACTTATTCGGCACAGCGACGGGGTGACGGATTGACGAGATGCGCGTCAGCAAGTAACAGCTGGTGGCCGCGTCGCGTCTCGGAGAGCGGAGTGATGTCCGCAAGGCAGAGGGGATGATCAACAGCAACATCAACAAGGTGAAGGCTTGTAAAAGCCTCAAAGACCAGCCCGTCGGGGAGCCGGACAGGGACAGGAAAAACAAACCGGACAAGGGCGAGGGCGACAAGGAGGGCGGCAAGAGAGGCCCGGTGCCTGTCCAGCCTCTCCAGCTCGCCGTCGCCGCCTCCAGAGACTCCAGGACCAAGGACATCAAGGAGCAGAAGGCCCCCCGAGCGGCAGCACCACTCGCACCAGGCCGCACCAGGGCCCGGGATGATTTCAGGATGGCTCGGGGCGGGAGCGGTTCTGTGGACAAACGCGGCGCCTACCGCGGCCGCGGGGTGTACACGAGAAAGGCGGACCGCGACGGGGACTCGTACGGCCCCAGGGTAATCAAAAGCCACCCGGACTCGACGGCCGGCATCTACAAACACCATGCAGACTCCAGGAACAAAACAGGTAAACCTAACCTCTCCGTTGTGTGTTGCCCCTGGGAGGAAACTACATGTCGCACCTCGTTCCTTCTAGTTGTATGTTTCTCGGCAGCATTTTTTAGTTTTCTTGACCTCTTCAAGCGAGGGGAGCTGAAACCCATCGCTTGACATACTTGTTTGTTGCTGTTACTCTGATTTTCTTGGTTGGTTTCTGTTCCAGATTTTGGTTCTTTGGTACCAGAGGATAGTCGAATATCTAAAGTCTTGCGGCGTTTGTTCCGAGAGGAAGATTCTGAAAAATTTGTTGCACTGACTTTGCAGCTTCAGGTATTAAGATTTTTAATTTTTCGAATTTTTCCCCAATTTTTTAATAAATGTAACATAAGTTTTTGGTTGAATTAAGCCACTAACTTACTCAGAAAAAAAGTACTCTGTCTGTCTGTTTGTGTATTTGTCCCATTTTGTTGTGGTCTGCATTGCTCCACCTTCAAATGGTTCAGAAGTTGCAAATTTGTGCCTCATTCATAACCACACCAATTTTCACCCATCTAACATTCCATTGTGCTTGTGGGTACAATTTTGGCATACATGAACTGGATCAAACTTTGCACTACAGCAGATTGGAGTATTTTTGGACTGGTTCATCGAAATCAATGCAGATGGTGAACTGCAAGCCAAGGTATGTGTCGTCAGATAGGCTGCTGTAAAAATTGGCTTCTGTGACGAAGTCTGTTGCGCAGGCCATTGTCTGGCTACACCTACCTTGTCTTGTCTTGACTGACCGCTTCTAATTTATTGATGTGGTTGTTGTGTTCTCAAGGATGCCCTTGGAGTCCCAGAGAATATGCAGTACATTAAGAGATGCTTTGAGAACATTTTAGATGCATTATTGGACCTGCTTTACAATGGACCTGGAATTAGTGCCAAATCACAAATTGCTAAAGCTATGGGTCATGTAGGATATGTTCTTGATTCTGAATTCAAGAGGTATTCACCCTAACAATATCATGCTTAGCTGTTGTAAAGTAGATATAGCCTTAAACCTTTTTTGTCTTCAGGTTTATAGACTGGATTTTTCCTAAGTATACGTCTGAGAAGAACACTGAAGTGAAATGCTTTTTAATGGAAGCACTTCGTCAGGTTTGAAACATATTTTAATGCATTACAATACACTAAATTTTGCTCACCTACTTTTGTTCCTTATTGTTCATTTTTATTTTGTTTCAGACACTCACATTGGATGCAGAAACATTGAAGCTTAAGCCACACTCAGTAGTATGTTTTTTTTTGTTTTTTTTTTTTAAATCAGAACAAAACATGACATGATTATATAAAAAGCAAGGAGCAAACAACTTTGAAAAATTTTGTACATCCTTGTTTCAAATTTAAATGATTTCATGTTATCTTTTGTTACAGTAGTTCCAAGTTATTTCACATTGTTTCATGTTATTAATACATTCTTTCAACATTATCTCACCAAAATTCAAGTTGTATCCTCCTTGATAAAAAGTTATGGCAATTCTGTTTGTTCAGTGATTCATTTTTTTTGTTGCAGACTTTGATGATGAAAATGCAACAAATTTTAGAAAATACAGACCTTCCTGATTTATTTGTTACCTGTATAGAAGTTATTATGCAGCTATCTGCTCTATATCCTGATACCTTGACTGATTACTTCCGTGTAAGTGTTGTAACTTGTTGCTACAAATTTGACAGCATGACAAATAATATTTTTGATTTTAATTCTTAATCTATTACATTTTCTAGGATCTTGTTGATATTTTAGTTGGTTGGCTTATTGATAGCAGTCAAAGTGCAAAAATGACTGATTATGCTGCAAAAAGTCTTCAGAGGCTTGCACCATATTGGATTCAAGAATTGAATTTTTCTATTACATTCTTGGGACAGTTCTTAGAAGATATGGAGATTTATGGGGATGTAAGAAATCTTGTACCCGATTTGGTGCAAATATTTTAAAGCTACTGGGTAACCTCCAAATAATTGATGAACATTTGATGTCTTTACAGGATTTTGTAAAATCACTTTCCCCTCAGAAAGATGAACTGCTCAGTGATGCCAAAACGTCTTCCCCTGATGATTTCTTATTTAAAGTTGAGGCTTTCATTAAGTGAGTTCTACTTTGAATTTTAAAATGTGGTATGATTTTTTTGTGACAGATGTTGATTGTTGTGTGTCTGTTTAGATCTTTCAATACTGTTATCAAAGCTTTAGGTGATAACATGAGCCCAGCTAACTCTACTCACGTTACTTGGACCTTTCTTGGGGACTGTCTTTCAAAAGTCCTTGTTACAGTTAAGTCTGTTCTTGACGTTAGATTTAATGAAGACCTCATCATGTCTGGTATGCACTTGTCAACATAATGCAACTTAACTCTTCTCAAAAGTTGTAGAATCTAACATCATTTTTTGTCCTTGAATTCCAGTAAACGAATGTGTCTGGTTACTTCTGTCTCATCTCCAGACAAAGACTACACCAGGACATGATCTCTTGTATGAAATGTTTGATTACTTGTTGGGTCAAATTGACAACATGTGCAATGTAACAATTTGTTCTGTCTTACATGTTATTGCAAAGGTCCGTTGTGGGGCGTTGGTAAAACAGTTTCTATCCAAAATACTTATTTAATTGTAAATTTGAAAATTTATTTATTGTCTTTGCTCAGGCTGTTCGTGAAGTTAGTGCCAACTTACCTTTGGAATTAGTTCAGAAGTTACTGAGTCCAAGTTCCAGTGTAGTTAAACTGCGCTTTTCACCAAGCAAATCAATTCAAAAAGCTGCTTTAGAACTGTATCATGCTTTGTTAAATCTCAAAAACATTCCACTTCTTCAAGAGGCCTACAAGTAGGTTCTAGTTTCGGTTTTAATGTCTATTTTTCACTATTTCAAGAATTGAATTACAGAACTAATTTATTTGCTACTGTTTTATGTTATTTGTTCTACATTTCTTGACGTTTCCTTATTGTCTCGCAGGTATGTACTTGGTGACTTGGAAGTAGCATACCGCCATGTGGTTCCTGAGCTGGAGCTACTTTGCCAAACCAATCCGTTTGCAGATGCGAAGTATTCTCCTAGTGAAGCAGAAGTCGTTATTCTATTTCTTCTTGCTGCTCTGTCAGACCTTGGTAAGATGTTTGCAGTTTAATCTATTTCAAATCACCTTTCATCCTACATTATCTATTTTACTGATGTACAATATCTTATATATTTTTAAAAAATATTACAGCGAATGCAAGCAACTCAATTATTGGAATGTGGGCTCTGAAACCCAGCATGTTTGAACTACTGGCATTGAGAATGAAACCTCGAGAAGTCAAGACACATACTGGATTGCATTACACTATACTATATCTCCTATTCTCTCATTGCTCAAAGTAATACATATTTCTCAATGTTTTTTTTTCTTTGTATTTTGATTGTGTATGGTGAAAATCACAAATATTTTTTCTCTCTTAAATTTAATTTTAGGTCCAATAATTTTGTGTCCAGCAGTAGCTTGGTGCAAGTAGGTTCTGGAACCAGAAGACCTCTTGTCTTGTCTGGCGTACCATCTCTCAACAACTCTGATTCTTCTGTATCATCACCAACATCTGCTAATCTGTCCAACATCCTCCAGCTTCTGAAAGAATCCTTACTAGACGTTCGTATTTTGTCTTGAGCCATCATTGGTTACTTTTAAAAGTTGTTGTTTATTTATCTTGAGTTGTGATTCTTACAGAACTGTTCACTTGAAGTTGACCTTCTACTACTCACATGGGTCAGGGAAATTTTGACTCAGGGTGCTCCATACCTACCCACCATGGCTGAGACAGTAGACTTTCAATCAGTGTTATCGGCTGTCGTGTCAAAAGGTCACTCAGCTTTGAAAAAGCCACCCATATCATTGGCAGTTTGTGGAACTCTGCAAGTAGTTTTTCAATTTCAAAACATCTCTTGGAGGGTGAGGAAAAGAAAATAGCTTTTGTTTGCTTAACGTTTTACACTTTTTGAATGGTGTTTTTTTCTTTTCTGTTTTTTCATGGAGTTAGAGTATTGTTAATTTCCTATTGATATGTGTTTTCTCTGCCCTCTCTAGTCAAACTTCCTTACATCAGTTACTGAATTGTGCCTTCTTCATATAAATTGTACCTATGCTGATGTGGCTACCGGTTACTCACAGTTGTTATCTGTTCTGCCATGGAACATTACTTTGCCTGTACTAGCCCACATGAATTTTGAAGTGCACTCTCAGGTGTGTGTTTCTATATTATTATTTGCCCTGAGCTGATAATCTCTGTTATGTTTTGGTTATTCTTTATTGCTTTTGTGTTTGTTCTCAACAGAATCCCAAAGGTTGTGTTCCGCAGAAAATTCGCTGGTCGTACTCTTCTCAGTTGTCAAAAAATGAAGTTGGTCTCATGGGTCAACAAGAGTTTAGACAGTTCATGTGGTACCTTATTCACGGAGAGGAAGGAGAGTTAGTGTCTGATTTATTTTTATGTTCTGTTGTAGTTTTGTGTAATTGGTTACCTTTCTGATCTGACATTTATGGTTGTTTTACAGACGCAGTTGGCTCTTAGACTTGTTCAGCCAGTCTTGGCCACTGAGCCTGTGCAGTAATGTCAATTCTGATAACGAAACTTCAGCCGATAGTTGTAAATCTAATACTCCCAAGGATTTGAGTGCCATTGCAAAGTATTGCCAACCAGTGCTGCTTCAGTGGGCTGTGTGGGATTCTGCTCAATTTTGTGTCACATCCAAACTAAGAACACCATTGGGAAAGCCACAGGAGACTTTCACCAAAATAGAAAGTGCCATCAAGTCCCTAGCAAGAGAGGCCGATGATTTTGAAGCATGGGATGTTATGAGAGTTCGTGTCCTTGTGGATTTCCTCGAACAGCTCGAAAAAGTGATTTATAATGCTGGTGAGGGTACAGCTCTTGCAATAGAATTGCCACCCAAGCAAGTACGTACCTTTTTCCACACCAACCGAAGCACGTGTGTTGAGTGGTTGACAAGGATTCGCTTGGCGGTTGTTGCTGTGGCTCTTCGAGCAGGACAAGCAGCCACTGCTGTGAGGCAAGGACACGCTCTGTTGCAATATCTACATGAAATGAACAATACACAAGGCTTGGAGTTTGAAAGAGCTGCTCTCTATGTGGGATGTGCACTGACACGCTTACATGAATGGGAGTCGGTCCAAGGATTATACATTTGGGCAAGGAATGAATGTGGCAGGAAGATCCCCCTGTTGAAGGGGTTGGTTGAACAGGCTGCTGGCAGACTAGAACATGCTGTGGATTTTTACTCTCAAATCCTTAGTCAATCCTCTGAAGATCATCATGCTGGTGGTGATTGTGATCTAAGAATGAGTGAGGTGGCTGATGATCAGCTTACAGAATGCCATAGAGCTTTACAGGATTGGGCAAAATTGGCCAAGTGGAAACTTGATGAAAAGAACTCTTATCCCACCAATGGAGGGATGTTGTTGCTTTCTACATTGAAAACCAATCACATCGAAGGCTTTGCTGAATATGAAGCTGGGTCTTATGAAGCTGCTGCTAGATTGATGGAATGGGACACTGAAGCTGCAAGTAATTTGACCACACAGCCGCGTACTTGGAACACGTTGAAAATGCTCCGCTCAGCACACAGCAACTTGTCAAGTATTGCTGTCGCTCTTGCTGGGGAATCTTTTGTCCCGATTTCTGAAGATATCAAGTATGTATTAAACTTGTATGGTACCACTGTTTATCTAGGGTCATTGTTTTTTGGGATTGGATAATTTCTGTTCTCTTTTTTCTTGTCTAGATTAAAATGGAGTCAATATGTTGATCAGTGCCAAAATGATGCCCATCTGCTTCTGAAGGAAGGGTTAAGGAACACAACATCAGAGTTGCTGCTTGAAGCAGCAGTCACACAATATGCTGCATCTGGCCTTGCAGACCTTCTTCATGCTCAAAATAGTGATTCTGGGCCTCTCTTGTTACCATTATCAGCTCAGGATACAAACTTAAAAAATCTCAACTCTGGAATTTTGAGCAATGCCCTTTGGTGGAGCGAGTTCCTAGAGCATATGGGTATTCAAAATCAAACAACATCTATAAGTGAACTACGCGTCACCACTGCTCACACAGCAAGGAAAGAAAAGAACCTTGGCTTTGCCCTTCGCTTGCTCAGCAGAGAACTTGGTGCTCCTGCAAAATCATCTCTTCAAGAAGTTGCTAAAGTGCAGATAAACACTCCACACCTGTCATCTCCTCTTGAGCTGAGAGCACTCACAGAAGTGGCCAAGGTTCTTTATGCAGCTGATAAGAAAGATTATGCTGTTTCTGTTGTGGTCCATGGTGCTCAAAGAATCCGTAATTCTGAGGATGCCATTCTACAAGAGCGTGGTTCACGTTTGCTGCTCACTCTGGCAAAATGGATTCACGCTGACCCTAGTCTTGCTGTGTGCGGAGACAACAAAAGTGCCATATCTCACCTCCTCGAACAAGATATTGCTGGAGGAGCAGACCTCCTTGATATTCAAAACTGCAGTTTACTTACTCAAAATGGTGTTCAAATTATTCCCACTACAGACACCACCATTGGCAGAGTGTTGCGGCTGGCCGTTGTCCAGTGTCCTCAACTTGCTAAATCTTGGGCACATTTTGCAAATTGGTGCTACCGGTGGGGAAGGAGAGCGGTTGATGTTACCAATGAAATCGGAGGGCAACTCAGTGCTGCAGATAAGGCATGTGTTCAAGCCATGATGCCGCAAGATGCTAGTCCTTCAGATCTTGAAAGTGTTTTTAGTATATTAGGTCAAACAAGAGCTGTAGCCGATGAAGAAGACATAGATTTAGATAGCACAAATACAAGTGAAATGATGGAGTCTCAGCTACGCACAGTAAATGTCCTGCACTATGCAAACCCTGAAACTCTTGCTGGGTTAGTTGGTGTTTGGCGAGAAGCACAGCAAAGGGTCTACAGCTGTTACCAACTTTCTGCCGTCGCCTATTTTAAGTTCTTGCAATTGTGTGGCCAAGAAGAAGTAAGTACAGCAGATCCTTACTCAGCTAATCCTCATTTTTCTTCCTGAAAACAATCTTCTTTTTTTTTTTCACAGGCTTGTACCGAAGACTGTTCTACTGTCACTGCGTCCCTGCGACTTCTCCGCCTGGTTGTAAAACATGCCCTTGAGCTGCAGTCTGTGCTTGAGGCTGGTCTGGCTGCGACTCCAACTGCCCCCTGGAAAGCCATAATCCCCCAGCTCTTCTCCCGCATGGGGCACCCCGAGCCCTACGTGCGCCGCAGGGTGGCCGAGCTGCTGTGCCGCCTGGCCGAGGACGCGCCCCACCTCATCACCTTCCCCGCCGTGGTGGGCGCGGCGTCGGGGGGCGCCAGGCTGCGCCACATGCCCATGCCGGGCACTGCCAGTACGTGACATCCCTCCACCAATACTGGTGGAGGCGGCCAAAATTCCAGACGCGTTTTGAGCTCCAGAGTCGGTAAACTTAAACCGAACCGAACATTTGACCCCACCAATGGATTCCTCGTTCGGAGAGGTCACACTTTCGGTTCGAGTCCTGTTTAGCGACCCTGAAGCTCAAAACGCGTTCAGAATTTTGACCGCCTCGAGCCCACTATGCATGGACAGCAACTTAAGCGACTCTTATCCGCCTTTGCCACCAATTTTAGGAACGACTCTCATTATATATTGTCTCATGCGCTTGCAGGACTTTTCGGCACATACCTTACCCCCGAGGGTGAGGAGGTTGAAAGCTTGGGAGAGGAGGAAGAAGACGATGAAGATGATGATGACGACGAAGAAGAGGATGAGGAGGAGAATGATGGCAGTGGACAGATGGTACTGAAAAACTGTTTCCTAGCCATGGTGGATACTCTTTCTAAGCAGGTCAGTATCTTTTCTTCCACTTTATATCCTCTCCTGTTCTTCACTTGGCTTGGAATCGTCTAATTTAAATGTCTTGTCTTATTTGCAGGCTCCTGAAGCTATATCCCAAGTGCAACAATTTGTTTGTGAACTTCGTCGCATAACTTTACTGTGGGATGAGTTGTGGCTTGGCACACTTTCTCAAAATCAGTCAGAAATCAATCAGAAAGTATCTCAACTCAAAGCAGAAATTACCCGGGTGGAACAAAATGGCTCTCTCAGCCCTACTGATAAAGAAAAGCTGATATCAGAAAAATACAGAATTATTGTGAAGCCTGTATGTAAAATGTCTATTCACAGAATGAGTAAATACCTACGTATTAAAATTGTTGATTAGTGTTGACTTATTCTTGTCTCGTGTTTCAGCTTGTTTTCATCTTTGAACAACTGCATGCTATTACCTCTGTTACACCTGAAACTCCTCATGAGCGGTGGTTCCAGGAAAAGCATGGTAAGTGAATATTCAGTTGCTTTCATTTCCATATCATAAATCTGTTTGAATGTGTGCATTACTAATCTATCTATCTTTACTCAGGTAAACTTATTGAGGTCATATTACATGCAATGAAAGAGCCTAAAGATTTCAAACGAGCGGAAGAGTGGCATACACCTCTCAAGTCGCTTCAATCACGTCTCAATGTCCGAAATAACAAACGAGCTGCTCACACTCTCCGCATGGAAGATATAAGTCCAACATTGGCATCTCTGAAGGACTCGTGCATTGCCATGCCCGGTGTGAGGTCTGGAAAGGGCCGCATTATCACCATCGCTTCTGTGCACAATCTCATTTACATTCTGCCCACCAAGACTAAACCCAAGAAGCTCATGTTCCATGGCTCAGACGGAAAGACTTACTACTACCTGTTCAAAGGGCTCGAAGATTTACATCTTGATGAGAGAATCATGCAGCTTCTGAATATTGCCAATATGATGCTGCGAACACCATGGCTAGAAAACTCTTATCGGGCTCGGCATTACTCGGTCATACCTCTTGGACCAAGGTCTGGCTTGATCAGCTGGGTCGAAAATGTAACGCCTTTGTTTGGCCTTTACAAGCGTTGGCAGCAGCGACAGGCTTCGGCACTCGCAGCTAAGAATGGTGTGACACCTGTGCAAGTCAAGCGACCATCAGAGCTATTTTACCAGAAGCTGTCGCCGAAATTAAAAGAGAAAGGAGTAGCCCTTGAGCACAGGAAAGAGTGGCCGCTACCAGTGTTGAGAGAAGTTCTGCAGGAGTTGATGGCTGAAACTCCTTCTCAGCTACTTGCCAAAGAATTGTGGTGCCATAGTGTGAATGCAGGAGCGTGGTACAAGACTTTGCAAACGTATTCTCATTCTGTGGCAGTTATGTCTGTGATTGGGTACATCATTGGGCTTGGAGATCGACATTTGGACAATGTGCTAGTGGACTTGACAACCGGAGAAGTAGTCCACATTGATTATAATGTTTGCTTTGAGAAAGGAAAGACCCTTAGAGTTCCTGAGAAGGTACCCTTCAGAATGACTCCAAATATTCAAGCAGCTTTGGGAGTTACAGGAGTTGAGGTAAGGCAAATCATCATTTTTAGTTTATTTTTATTTTTATTTAAATGTTTTTGCATGTTTAGTTCATAAGGAGTTGTAGAAGTGAAAATTCGTGGGGTCAAAGCAATATGATAGGAATATTCGTCTTTTAAAGAGAGAGGTTCAAAAAGACTTTTTCCTCAAAAAAAAAAAGAAAAAAGGACAAAACAAAACTATTTTTTTTTATAATGGCAAAACTCTTAAAAGACTGCTAAATTGTTTTGCTCGAAATGAAAATAGTAATTTTACTCAAGTGCTATTTGTCCTATGGATCCACATCTCGTGGGGTCTGTTGTGGGCAATCTGCAACGCAGTAACTGAGTAAAGGCAGACATGAATTCTGAGTTTTTCCAAGCATAAATGAGTGGGTTCATTCCGGAGTTGGTCATGGCAAGTGCAAGTGCACCTTTGTACAGTGTTGAGGAAAAACACTTGTGCAGCCCATCCACTGCCTGTAGTACAAGGACTGTGAAGAATGGCATCCAGCACACTGTGAAACTGCCTAAAACGAGCAGCACCACCTGTCAGTGTGAAGAATCAAAACATTGTCAGTGACAATCAAAGGAGGGAAAAAAATTGATTAAATTTTGGATAGAAGAGGTTCAGTACCTGAATCGACTTTCCGTCTGGAGGCTTCCCTTGGTGATTTCCCCACCTTTTCCTGACTGATGCGGCCTCCCTCCATATCCGCCAGTACACGATAAACATGGCTAGCCAGACTAGTCCGAAGTTAGGTGTCAGGATTAGCATGGTAAAGGGAACAGGCATCACCTCATGCAGCTCACAGCTTGAGGCAGTGGCCCAATTATTCCAGTACAGAGGTACACTTGCTATTGTCATGGAGTACAGCCATCCCAGTCCTATTGCAGTCCATGCCAACCTGTAAAGTAATTTTGCATTAGCACTGGCATTATGTCTGGTTAGATAATTAATCAGGGTTATCACAACTTAAAAATGGAATACCTTTTTGTTACACGAGTAGTGTAATGTAAGGGGTACATGATGTAGATGTATCGGTCCATACTTATGCATATCAAACTAAACAGGGAGTTGCAAAATGCCAACACCATGCACGAGAACTTTAAGAGGCACGCCGTTTCAGACGCACCTAGGTTGTTGCCCCAGTAGAAGCTCATGTGATAAGGCAGAAAGAGCCCCACCAACAGATCTGAGACGGCCAAACTGGAAAGAATGAAAAACGAGATGTTTTAGTGATAGGGCCGGACGTGGGGTACCTGAGGCTAGAGTCGCTCTGTCTCTCCCACTCATGGGGCGTCCCGGACAGGTGCGAGAGAGACAGAGCGACAAAACGACTGGGCACTGACCTGAGCACGAACTGCGAGGAGGTGGCCCTGGCCAGCCTTCTGCCGAGCACCACGGCGCAGATGGTGAGGGTGTTGCCGCAGAGGATGCACAGCAGCAGCGCGCTCTCGACCACGATCCACACGACCTGCCGCCGCGCCTCGTCGTGCTCCTGGGCGACGTCGTCGCCCGTCATGTTGAGCCAGGCCGAGGCCGCCGTCGTGGTGCGCTCCGCCTGCCCCGGCCCCGCCGGCCCCGCCGCGACGCCCAGCAGCATGGCCGGCCCGGAGTCGTTCATGGACTGGCTGGCCTGCAACGCCTGCAACGGGAAGCCGAGCCCAGAGTGAGGAACGGGCGACTGCGGAGCGGATCCTGGTGAGGCGGAAGGCGAGCCCGGCAAGCCGACGAGCTGGTGCTGGCGCGGGCTGGTGCCTGGCCCGGCCCGGCCTGACTCCCTGACTGGCGGGATGACGCCGCCGGGCCATGCCGGGCCGGGCCGGGCCAGGCTGGAGAGAAGCTGCATGCCGGCCGCGCACTCCTTTCTCCCGCCACTTTCCTCTTCCTTTCCTAGGTTCCTCCCAAATTTAGACGGCCCCCGCGGGCCTCCTACCTTTCACCTGGCCGGCACTTACCGCTGCGGTTTCCAGGTTGACGGCGTGCTCCGTGTGCTCCGCGTGGCGGCCTGTGTCTGCGCGCGCCGTGCCCGGGCGCTGGAAAGGCAGGGGAGCTCGCCTAGCTCGCCGCGCGACTCCCGCATGGTTGTGGAGCTCGGCGCGGTGGACTTATCCGCCAACGGCGCGGTTCTGTGCGGGATGGGATGTATGCGGTGTACGCCCTGGTGTACGCCCCCCGCGTCGCGACGCGCCGCGCCTGCGATCGTCGAGCTCGCGAGGTCCGCGGAGCGACGCGGTTTGGCGGTCCGCGCAGACTCGGTCTCCGTCTCGGCGGCGCGCGGGTCGGGACGGGCCAGGCCAGGCGGTGATCCGTGCCGCGCCGTGCCGCGCCCACGGAGTACTGTGCCGAGCCGAAGCCGATCAACACCTCTGGCACTTCCCCGCCTCCTCGCCGCGCCACCCCCACGCCGCCACTGTCGACGGGGCCCTGGGCCTGGGCCCCGGGCCTGGGCCCTGGGGAAGGGGCGGTGGCGGTGGCCGTGGCGGGGGCTGCGTTGTGCTGCGTGATGTCTAGCCCTGGGGCCGCGGCCCCTGCCTGTCAGGCCCTGGGGCCTATGCTCGGGGGCCCATGCCCCGGCGCAGCCCGCATGGCGTGCGTGGCGGTGCGGTGGCGGTGCGGTGGCGGTGACACCGGACTGCAGCGTGTGTGCTTTTGGGCCCGGCATGGCGCGCCACAGAGGCTGGCGGGGGCGTAGCGGGCGGAGGGAGGCGGAAGCTTTGCCGCCCAGCCACCTTGCCTTGCACCTCGCTGAGTCCGCAGCGACCAGCTTGACTGGCGGGGCGATCGCACTTTGTCGGCACGTGGTCGTATCGGGCCTCCATGGCGGGGCCGAGCATGGCGGGGCCGAGCATGGCGGGGCCGAGCATGGCCGGGGAGGCAGAGGCAGCCCCGCGCCCTATGACCCTCCCCGTCGGTCCCCGTCGGTCCCCGTCGGTGATCGCCCGACCGGCCAGTAAACCAAGGCGTTCATTGACGCATCGCGCGGCGCCGACTGATGCGGCTTTATGCTTTTATGGCAGAGCCTTGAACCCCTTCGCAGCGGGCCTTCCTGGCCCCGCCTCGATTAGAGCCCCGAAATCTAACCTTGCATGCCGCCCTGCCGTCTTGCAGTTGAGGCGAACGGAGCGCGCCGTCGTCGCCAGAGCTTCCCGTCTCGGACTCGGCAAGAGCGCGCAGTGCGCTGGCGGCGCAGGGCGTAGACTGATCTCGATTAGAGCGTCGCCAAGTTATGGCCAATGCATTAGTTGAAGTAGATGCCGATAAAACGGACCGCGCGCCGCTTCTGCGGGGGCCTCTTCGGTCGTGGAGCCCCTTGCCCCCGTAGGCCGATTTCGAACAGTGCTTCAGCGCCGTCCCTCGCACCCGAACGTGGCACCCCGGCAGTGCGAGAGAGAGACAGCGACGGGAGCACTGTTAAATTGTATCAGCCTGGTGTCGCCTGCTGTCCAGAGCTGCACTACAAGATCGAATGCAATAAGCTAAGTACACATGTACATGAGTGTGCTTGACAAGTACACATTTATCGGTGTGTGCGAGGCAAGTGGACTCTCATCTCATTAACTTAATCGACGGAGTCAGAGCCTCAGAGACGGAGTGAGCTTTCGAAGTGCACTAAGGACACGAACGATTTTTAGTGCGTCAAGCCAAGCGGCGGCGGGCGGCTTTTGAGGACGCCTCCGTGTCCTTGGGATGGATGACGCGCCAACCTGCCAGCGGCCCGCCTGTCACCCGCTGGGCCGGCGCCGGCGAGAAGGGCCCGCCAGTGGCCCGCCACTGGCCAGCCACTCCGGGTCCACTCAGTGGCGAGTCAGACGCTCGAACAGTGTGGGGGACGGGGATGGCGATGGCACGTCCTTCCGCGCGTTTGGCGTTCGGCGGCGTCTCGGCGGCGTCTCTGCGGATCGGAGGGCAACGGGGCTCCCTCTAGTCTAGACTGCCGCCTCGCCCCCCCCCCCCCTTTCCCTTTTCCCCTTTGGCCGCGTCCAGTAAACGCGTGTCTGAAAAGGAGCAGCCTTTCCGTCTTGCTTAAGCGTTCGCGGCCTAGAAACAACAACAACAAACACGTGGCCTTCCCATTTTTTTCTGTCTCTCGTTGCGCCGCCGCACAGTGGGCAAGACGACCGGTGGAGGCGGCCGAAACTCTAGACGCGTTTTGAGCTCCAGAGTAGCTAAACGGGACTCGAACCGAACGTGTGACCCCACCAATGGAACTGGTGGGGTCACACGGTCGGTCCGAGTCCCATTTAGCGACTGTGCAGCTCGAAACGCGTCTAGAACTTTGGCCGCCTCCACCGGTCGTTTGGCCCACTGTGCGCCGTTGTTGGGTTCGCCGTGGGCCGCCCCGGTTCGCCGGAACGATGTGTACTACGATGTGTACTATACAGCGAATTTGCTCGACGGGAGTTATTTCGCGGGGCGTCTGTTTTCTAGCGCGCACCTCCCCCCGCGCCGTGCAGGCCGTGGAGGCCGCGGAGGCCGTGGACCTCCAGATGCACGCGCTCTATGCACGCGCCCCCCATCCCGATACGTACGTACTACCCCGAAACCCCGAGCAGCCCGAGCACACGCGTGGCCGAGTCGGCCGAGTGCAGGGCGTGCAGCTGCACTGCAGGGCCTGCGGGGCGCGTCCTTCGCCACTGCAAGCGAAGCTCGCGAAGCTTGCATGGCGTGGTTGTTATTCTTGCCGCGGCATTCTGCACTCGACCCCCGCGTCCCCCAATACCCGCCCCGCCACGGCCCGCGCACTCCTTGACGCGTCGCTCTGGTCCCAGCAGCCTGCTCTCGTAAAACCGACGCCGGCAGCTCCAAGTTCCTCCCAATCTCCTGCACTCGCCCCGCCCCGCCCCGCCCCGCCCCGCCCCGCCCCGCCCCGCCCCCCCCACCCCGCCCCGCGGAACGCCCAAGTGACGTCGTTCTTCGCTGGCTGCTGCCACCCCTCCGCCGCCCCTAAGCAAATTCATCAGTCATGAATGTGTCGACCTTGTCGTCCGCCGCGCGGCCTTAATATGCGTCCGTCTCGCCTCCCGCCCCGCCCCCCCCCCCGCCCCCCCCCGCCCCCCGGAATACGTTTTCGAGGACGTGCTTGCGACCGAGGACGCGTAGTAGAAACGGAGGAAAAGCTTTGATTTCTGATCTAGAGCGCAACGCGCCACCCTCGGCTGACGCCTCGTGGGCGCGTTTGGTGGATTGCTCGAGACGTCGTCGAGACGTCGTCGAGACGGCTGTCTTGGCCACCTCTTGCGTGTGCCAGCATGGAGGCAGGCCAATCTCTCATGGTGCCAGATTTGCCAGGCCGGGCGCCGCGCGGCGCTGTAGACTGATTCCGAGAGTCGCTTTCGTCGCCCTGTCCCTCTCGCACCCATAGCAGACGCCCCATGAGTGCGAGAGAGACGGAGCGACGAAAACGACTCGGGGAATGAGGCTGCAGGGCGTCACTTGCTGCTGTTGGCTTGGCGGCTCAGTTGTGGTCCAGCCCGTAATGGTAATGGTAATGGCGGCGAATAGGCAACCCGCATGCGTCGGCGCGTGGAGGCTCCGCGCTGCCTACTCGGCAGGGGCCCGCGCCACGCGCTCTCTGTGTTCGTCGCGGAGGTCTTTGTGTCGCGCGGCGAGCGGCAAGGTCTGGCGTGCGAGCACTGTGAGGCACTGTGAAACCAAGTGTGTAAGAACTCCGCACTTGGACGTGCAAAGTCTTCAGTCTCCAAACACTTCAAGTGCGGCGTTCTCCCCGCGTTTGCACCATGCTAGGAGAGAGGAGTTCTGCGAGCTACTCCACACTTGAAGTGTGGAGACTGCAAACTCCGCTCCAGGAAGTGTGGAGTTCTCCACATTCGGTTCGACAGTGAGTGTGGGACAGGTCCGTGGTTCTCAGCACCGTCCTGTCCCTGCGCTTCTGAACTCAGTCGAGGCTGAAGCCGGCTGAAGCTTGCCGAAGCGGAAGAGGTGTTGTTTGGGTCGCGGGGGTGCTTGGCGGCCTCTGGGCGTTTCTGGTCTTATCACCTTTATGGCCTTGTTGGTCGTGTTGGAGGCATTCAGGTGGTGGCGATCCCAGAGCATCACGTCGCCCCGCCCCGCCCCGCCTTATCACGCTGTGGACTGATTCCGGAGCGCGTTTCGCCGCTCTGTCTCCCTCGCGCTCACGGGACTGGCCGTGCTGGCCGTGAGTGCGAGAGAGAGACACGACGCCGCAGTGCGGATCGCTCGGCAGCCCGGCGAAGCCCGGCCCACTTATCGGAAGTTTGGTACAGCCGTGTGGGCCCCGCATCTCCGGCGGGGCTTGCCTCCGGTTTCGGTTCTAATTTCTATTTCTTATTGGTAATAAGTCGCTTGGGGGCGAACGCCTTTGTCGCCTTGGCTGTGCCAGCAGTGCGCACCGAGCACCTCTTCGGACCACTTTGCACAACCGAGAGACTCGCCGGCCGCTTGGGCTACAGTGCATCGAGCATCGGGAACAACTTGAATTACCACGAATTAGCTCGAATTCGCTAAAATAAATGCACTGTAAATTGACGTGCCAAATTTTTACGACTGGATTCAGAAGAAGCGGTGCTTTTCAAATCCCAAGGTTCTTCCCCTTCGAAGCGCCGTGCACCTTTTTGGTAAAATTTGGCTTAGGCCGGGGTTATTTGTTCTGAGAAGTGCACTGTGAAACCAAGTGCAGAGAACTCCACACTTGAAATGCGGGTGTGTGGAATTTTCAGTCTGTACACCTGGAAGTGCAGAGTTTGCAGGAATTACTCCTCGCGTCCAAGTGTAGCCAGGAAGTGAGGAGTTGTCCACACACTTGGTTCGACAGTGTGGTGGTGCACTGTGGCGGCTGCAACATGTTGCGTGCGGCTCGACCGCGGACAGGGCCGCCGTACTCGCAGTAGGGTGTAGTAATCGAGTAATCGGCCTAGGCGCCTAGGCAGCTGGGGGACATTTAGCGACATGTCTTCCCCGGGGGAGAGGGGGGGGGGACACGGGCTCCAATTCAATTTCCGGTGGCGCTAAAGGCAGCGCTAAAGGCGTCCGTGGGAGTGTTTGCGTTGCCAGTGTAGTGGAGAGTGGGCGAGGAGGAGCCACGTGTCAGGTTGCCACCCTTCAGTGGCTATTGTTGACATACGTTTTTGTGTCCAGTTCTGCTCCTGTGAAACACGTGTTCGAACGTGTATCACTGACATGATTTTATTTTATTTTTTGGTGTGTGTTTCAGGGCATCTTCCGCATGGCATGCGAACACGTCTTGAGGGTCATGAAGAAAGGCCGGGAGACTCTGCTGACCTTGTTGGAGGCGTTCGTGTACGACCCCCTGATCGACTGGACCACTGGCAATGAGGCTGGATATGCAGGTAGGAATGGGAAAGCTTCCTGTTAGTTGTAATGTCCCGTAGAAAGTAATGTGGCAATCTTTACCTTAACTGTTTCATTTTCTGTTTTTGATGATAGGCGCTGTGTATGGCGGCGGCCAGGCCATCACCCTTGAATCCAAGCAGAGCCACAAGGAACTTGAACGGGAAGTGACTCGCACGATGTTCTCTATCAGAGTCGTGGAAATGAGGGCGGACTGGCTTCAGAACCGTGACGAAGTGATCGCCAGTTTGGTGGACATGATGACCTTGATTGGAGGGTGGACTCAGTCTTGGACAGAGATGCAGGGCACTCAGGACCAGCTGCAGGACTGCCACTCTCTCTTGGCCTTGGTGAAAGAAGCCGAAGTGCAAATCCCCAACCGAACTCATTCCCTGTACACCCTAGCATTGCGTTACGCTGGGCATAAGCGAGCTAAGGATGCTCAAGAGGCAGCGCGCAGTTGCCTTCGTGACAAGCAAGCAAAATGTGATCAACAGTTGCAGCAGTATAATGTATGCACTCTACTGTTGATTTTCAATGTTAGATCTGTGGATTAGTTGGAGTGAATTTATATGTATATCTTATTTTCAATCTTTTTGTTTCAGAGTGCCTTGTCCTGCATACATAGTCCTCAGTTCTCCTCACTTAGTGCTCCAGTAAACAAGGAGGAATACATGGTGTTTGATCTTGTAAAAGAATTCCTGCAGAATGCTGGACAAAGCCAGATGGTGTACCAGTGTGAGCAGTGGGAGGCAGAGATGGAAGGCTTGGCTTTGAAGCAGATGCAAATCATGCGGGGATGTATCGACCTTTTGAACCAATATGGAGCCATTTGTGGCCTTTTCCCCACATCATACATCAACAAGCATCGCATTGTCAGCTATCAACGTTGGATAGGTCTTCTGTTGGCTGATCTGTCTATTTCCCGGTAAGACATGGGAGATGGAAAATAAATTCAAATCCCTTCTACTTGGCATGCAGTAACTCATTTTACTCATCATTCTCAGATGTCAAGAAGTTGTTGCGGAGTTTGGTGCCATTCTTCCACCTACGGTGAATGGAAGGACACCACTTCGTCAGCAAGTAGTGAATTTTGCCTTTGGGCTTCAAACTGCTTTAGCTGAAGCCAATATACGTCTGCAGGTTTGTTTTCAGCATGAATATTTGTGAATATTGGCTGGAGTCACATGGAGTCAAAACTTTGGAATTTTGAGTACTTTTAATTCTTATTTCAGAAAAGCTATGGTCTTTTGCGTGGAGAAAATGGCATTGATGTGGGAGCGAGACTTGAAAATGCTTGTGCTGAAGCTGACTCTGCTCTGAATAAACTACGAATGGGTGATTCATCTGTAAATGTTGTGATAGAATGTGTTGTGGTCACAGCATTAGTTTCCCTTAATAAAAGGTTCCTTATGATGGAGGCTGCATCTGCTAGTAAGTCACAACATTTCATGCTTAATATTTATTCCTAACTTATGATTCATCAAAAACCCATCAAGAAACTTAATTTTGTTTTATTTACCAGGTGCTGGAGATTGTTTGGTTGACCTTACTTCCCGTGAAGGGGAATGGTTCTTGGATGATATGTGCTTAATAAGTGGAATGATGACAAGAATCAGCTCTCTCATCCAAGGCCCAACATCTGATGCTCTTCAATGTCTTAGCCCCATACACAAGCTTTTCTGTGCATTGCAGGTTGGTATATCTTTGTCTTGATTTAAAGTTCAAATGAAATACTAATACATGTTACTCTAATCAAATTCTTAATTTCTCTTAGGATTTGAATTCCAATTTTGCCTCAATCATCTTGCCTGAGGCTGTTGTGGCCCTTCAAACCGAAAATCCCAGTGTTCTGGCCATGATTCAGAAGCTTTCAGCAATCATCAAAACTGCACCCATGTCATTGCAGGACCTAGTGGACCGTCTGGATATTCATTTAAGCTGCATTGCTATTGGAGTTGATGTAAGTTCTTTTCATGTTTTCCAAGCTTTCTTCTAAAATTAGGCTGTACTGTTGCTGGATTTTTATATGACATGGTTTCTGTTCAGTCTCCTCACAACGACGTACATCATATGGTAACAGAGCTGCGGAACAAATTTGAACTGTTATTACATGAGTCCACTGTGGGAAGCTCTGACATTTCAGACGGCACAATGTGTGCTGGTCAAATGTTGCTCATGGGCTTCAATGGCCTGTTTGAGAAGTTGTATTTAGACAGCCATGGTCTTGCACCCAAACTTTCAAGTATCAATGCTAATATCCCAGTTTGCTGGAGAAATCTTGATCATATTCGTGAGGCTAAAGCTTTCTCAGTGAGTAATTCAATGAACCCTTATACTGAGTATCATTTAATTGATTAATACCTTCACTATTAATATCTCTTTCACTTCTGTAGGGGAAAATGATGGACGATCGAACTCGACCAGTTTTAGAAGATATTTTCCTCCTGAAAAGACTGCAGACTATGGATGAGTTCTTCTGGATGTGTTCCGCTGTGGGCCGATGTTATAGAGGTGATATGCCTGAGCCTGGCGACCCACCACCTCCCATTCTTGTTGATGAAGAAAACCTCTTGAAGCCGGTCCGCAGATTCTCTGCTGACTTTGTTAGTCGCATGTTATTTGGTGTTGTTACCCACACAATGGCCGTTGGTGTCTGCAAACTGCTGCAGAGTATGGGTCTAAATGTAACAGGTACACAACGTTATCCATTCTCCTTCCAAAACTATTTTCTCACTTCTGATTCCTTAGTCTAATGCTGTCTTTTTTTTTTTTTTTTTAAACGTGAAGGTGAAATTGAACAACGAGACATTGGAGCAGAAAGTAAAGTGTCCCTTGAAGAGTTAAGCCGCAAGGCTGTAGACCGTAATTGTGGCCTTAGAAGTGCAGTGCTTGCTCAAGTTTCTGCCCATGTGTCTGCTCTTGAGTCGTGTTGGCGGCGAAGGGAATCGCATAAAACATTGACAAATCTGATCAGTCAACAAACTGCGACTGTCCAGCGTCTCCAGCTGGCTGTGACCACCCATTACTGGCTGCATGATGTTGTCCTGCAGAGTGTTCCTGGAATACCACCGCCGCCACCTTTCAATCGATCTGTGTTCATGTGCGACTTGCAGCGTTCACATGATGCTCTGATCGTGTTGCAATCTCAAATCAAGGAAGTTCACGAAAGGCAGCAGAGCCTAGTCACTACTGTAGAACAGAGGTTGAAGTGGGCTGCCGGAGCTAACCCAGCTGTAAATGAAGTTTTGTCAGCCTTTGCTTGTGCTGTGGAAGCGCTGGAAGAGCGGATTCAACGAGAGCAGGGGATGGCCTCTGTAATGACATCGACGTGCGGCAGCATTTTGCACCATGAATTTATAAGATCCAACTGTCCTGCTGGCATGCAGATGGATACCATATTTTTGCAGCTTGTTGATCAATGTGAAAAAAGTTGTCACATTTCATGTGAAACTGGAGAAGTTCTGAGTCCAGCTGAAGAGAGTCTTCTTCAAATGGTGTCTTTGGAAGGACAAGTTGATAAGGCTTGGATACAAAAAGCTGAGGTAGCCATATCAGACAAAATCAAAATGCTGCAGCAGAAAATGGCTTCTGCTCAAGAGATGGTGTTTTCAGGCCAAGAAAGCATTAAGTCCCAAGTTTCTGTTTTACGTACTCATCTGAGTTCCCACAACAGATTAATGGGTGACGTTCGCTCTTTAATAAAATCCATGGCTAAATTTGAGGATGGTGCATTTGTAGGACTGGGTGACTATATGGTTCGATATCGTGCTTACTCTGACCAGTTAATTTCATTGACTCGCCAACTCACTTCAGCTGATAGTCTTGTACACACTCATGTGGGAACTATTTTGAGTCAAGTTCAACTTTTGATAGACAATACAAGTAAGATTATAGAAGCTTAAAAATATTTTGTTCTTCTAAAATATTGATTATTTTAATGATATTTATGAACTTGCTTTTAGGTGCCATATATGAAGATCTTCTGTGCTTCTCCTCACCATTAGAGAATGAAGAAGTTTCAGACACTGCCAACAATACTAGATCCAAGAGGCCGACTTTAGTGCGACAGAGTAGTGTGTGCTTCTCACCTAAAAAAGGAATGCCATGTCCAGAGAAAGAGTTGCGCAGGGACCCTCACACAGGCAAAGGTAATATTATTACTCTCTGTTCCTCATTGATTAATTAACCGCCTCCTCCCCAAAGTTTAAGTCAGTGTGAGCTAATGGCGAATGTGTTTTTGTTTTGATAGCTATGCAAGAAAGAAATGATTATGCCATGAGTGTTTGGAGGAGAGTTCGTACAAAATTAGAAGGAAGAGATCCAGACTCAGCTCGACGTTCTACTGTTTCTGAGCAGGTATGTTTCAAGTGATCCTGGCTTTAAACACTGTTTTTGTCTTAACCACTTAATACCTCAATTATATTTTTAGGTTGACTTCATCATAAATGAAGCGACAAATCTGGATAATTTGGCCTTACTTTATGAGGGCTGGACTCCCTGGGTTTGAAAGCTGGCAGATGCAGAGATGAGTCTAGTTTTCAACATTGGCAGTTTCACTGCTTGAATCAAAGCCTCTTTGCTCATCCCAGCTAGCTGGCTGAGAGAGAGAAAGAGAGAGAGATGTGGTGCCTCAGGCTTGCGCCTAGTCCCTCCGGACCGGTTTTCGTAGCTAAGTGTGGATCTGAATGTTCTTGCACTTGCTCGGCCGTCAAGGGCAGCTTTCGGGGTGTTTCTCCCAATCTCTGGGAGTCGTTGAAGTAATGAGAAGGAATGATTTTTCACACGTCCAGTGTGCAGGAGCTGTCATCTAAGGTTTAAGTTGGTTATTATGTTTGTGTCAGATTTGAAGTAAGCTTTCTTAAGATTCTTTTGCGGGGACAATGAAATCAAAGGTTTCAAGAATTCCCCACTTGCATTGGCCTCAACTTCCTTTCCATTTTTTTAAAAATTTGTATGTGGTTTCTCTGTCAAATGGTTTAAAGGTGAGCATTATTCCTGGTTATTTTCCCTATCCAATCCATTTTTAACATCTTTCGCTGAGTTGAATCAAGTTCACATAACTTCCAGTTTAGTAACTTCCCAGGAAAGAGATCTGTTTATATGTGCCAATTAAAGCTTGTCAAGGAAGTGCCAATCCATGTGCCAATTATGTTGTTTGGACTTTTTACTTCCAGTGAAGTTTAAATAATAAATGAATTTCCTTGGTACTATGATAGTATTGAGGGAGACTAAGACTTGGGCAAATCCTCAAATAATATCTCTATTTCTAACTTTGTCTTTACATTATCAAAGGCACAAAAACTTGAAAGGTTTATCTCATCAATTAATGTGCTAACTACAAAAGTAAATACATTGACCAATTTAATTAAAAAGTATGAGTGTTTGAGAATTTATTGATATGGAGATGAGTTAGTTGCCCTTTGTGAACTGGTTCAGCAACAGTCTTTATTCAAAATAAACAAAGAAACTGACTTTTGAATGTTTATTCAGTACTTCAGCTGTGGCACAAACATAATGAACAAATGGATGCAGGGTGATTCCATTGTCTTTGTGCTTGTACTGTACTTTCACCTCACCTCGACTTGAAAGGATGGTTTCAGTTTGTGTTATTATGGATGCAGTTGAGACGCATCCTGTAATTTATCCAGCAATTGTTCACTTTACCCTCCATTCAAATTTTTCAGGATGTTTTTCTTTTATTATAATAACTAAAGGGAACATTTCGATGCGTTCTATGTGGGGAGTAAAAGTTTTGCTGTTTATTTCAAAGTGAAACATTTTTTTTTACCGCTGCAAACAAAATTTACAGTGTGTCCTATATCTCAGTAAACATTTGTTTGCCCATGTTCCAGGGTACCTCCCTAGAACTCCTTCTGCTTTTTCTTATTGTATCTAGATGAAAAACAAAGAAACAGGCTAACAGTATTTTTGGTCATTTAATTTCATCTATTTTTAAATATCTTAGCTCAAGACTTTATCTGTTAACATGAAGTCTGGACAGATTCACTTCAGGAGTAAATTTTGTTCAATCTGATTGTGTTACTGTAGTTTGTAACACCACGCACAATTGCTTTGTTCCAATCAATTCTGTTCAAAGAATGAAGGCATTCTGCATTGTATGTGACTTCTCTCTTAAGTCAATTTCTTCGAAATTTTCGTCCCATAACTTTCTATTCCAAATCGGAGCATTCAATGCAACTTTGAAGATCTGACAGATCCTTTTAAGTTCTAAGTTTTTTTTGTTTTAGTTTTTGTTGTACACTGGTCAATCAGTTAGTGTGCAAAAAAGGCGTGCATGTTGTCTTTCATTCTGTTTTATACCTTCTCATTTGTTTTTTTTTTACTCAAGTATTATTACCCACTTTTTAAAAAATCGATAACTAATCTTCAATTTGTATTGCATGCAATACTTTGTGGGTATCAAAACATAATCTTGGTGGTCAATGAGGATTTTACTTGTAGATTCATGACTAGTATTTTTTTCTTCTCTTTTCTCATATGGAAACAATTTTTATGTTAATTTGATAAGATTCTGTATTTTGTTATGATGTCTTCTCCCTCTTTTTTTTTTCTTCCTATTTGTGTTTTTATGCAATTAGTCAACACTTCAGAGAGTGTTGGCATGGTTATCATTTGGAATAAGTTACTTCTCAATGGTTCTCCGTTAATCACTTTTGACCATATTTTCTTGATATTTTCTATCTTGCCTTTCATCCCTCTGTGTTCACCTTACCAAGGGTATGATCACTGTCTACATAATGCAGCATGCAGTGAATTTCTTAATTTTGAATCTTATCAATAAAATGTGATGTCAAGTATTTGGTTTTCTTGCATATTATCCCCTTTGTGAAATTACAGATAATTCAAAATGCTCTGTGGACAAAGGGCTGTTTCACTGCTTAGTTTGGGCGCATTCACCTACGGTGTCTCGGTGGCTTTGAGAGCTTGGGTGTCTGCTTCGCCGAGAAGCACTTGGGTTTCGACGAGAACTCTTTTGCATTTTAGAACGGAGAAACAAGTTTCCTTTTTGACATAGCCAGCATTTCTCTGCAATGCTCATCGCCATTGTTCAAAGCCGCGCCGTCAGGGTAGGCCACTCATTCACGTCATAGGGAAGACCTGCAGACTCGACCGCTTCGTAGCGCCTCTGGGTAGTGAGTAGGACTGCATCCTCAGGTCCTCTCGAGGGGCGCCCGCAACCCGCAACCTCACCTCTGACAGATAATGTGGCTTGTCAGAAAAATTAGGAGAATTTCCTTATTTGTACGCACAGTTTAATTCTCAAATTGTACACTAAAACATCAGCACATTCAGAATAACTCTAGGAGCTACCATTTCAATAAAATTTCAACTAACATATTTTGTGGTATCAGCTTAATATAAAACAACATTAATCAACAAAAGTATAAATTGTTTCTATTACCCTACATCACATCACATACACTATTACACAAAAATCTTTGGTTAAAAGTATTATAACTGGACCCTTTACAATACAGACGAAAATAATAATTGAACATAAAGAGCATTCTAATGAAAGACAAGTCTGAAACACATATGAGTCACCTCGTACGTAATACTATATACACTTTACATTTAAAATCGTGGTTGAACAGAGGAACTCTTGTCAAGCTCTTCCCATGACATCTGAACAGCATTAACAAGGGACTAAATACAAACAATGTTGGCACAAAACTATGCGGCAGCACATGAAACCAATTTAAAGCAGTTCGGTAAACTTGTTGCAGTTTGTTCGTTTTTCTAGAAAGAAAAAAAAAAAAAAAAAAAAAAAAAAAAAAAAAAAACAAACTACAGAACAAATTCTATCTTTAACAGAAGACATCACAAAATCGGAAGACTAAAAATCTATTATGACAGAAGCTATAAAAAACCATTTAAGTTTTAAAAGGCTCAGAACATTCAACAGTTGACCTGCTCAACAGTCAAGCATTTAGCAGTCCATAATAAATAATTATTAGAATACCTGCTTAGAGTGATTAGGTAGCACTTTAAAATTATTTTGTTTGATTGAAAGAAGAGATTTATCTGCTCCTTATCCAAGAAAAAAAATCTCTAAAATACAAATTCCAATTTAATAAAGGCCGCCACATAAACGATTCAATATGGTTACATGCCTACCTCCTAACAGTTGTAATGGTAATGTCATTTATATACATTTTTGTGTTGCAGAGCATGTACTAAAAACACATGCAAAAAAAAAAGGTTTGAGCATAACTGAGCAAAGAAATGACATGACACATCAACACATGACACAAATTAATGCCACAACACCTACTCAAAAGATCATTCAAAAAGTGACAGTTCATTGAAGAGGTCTATAACTTAAAAACGTAAGATAAGCGGAAAAAAAGAGATGGAATAAAACTTGGGGAATATGATACAATTTTGATCCTGATTTCAGTAACTACATGACAACTCATTGTAATTTCACTCAAACAACACGTTGTTGTTTTTCAAAGAACTAAACATCTGAATAATTGCTGAAAAGTAAGGATTCCGTCTGTCAAGCAAAATAATAACCGACTAAAAATACAGATTCCTGAGATTCTACACACTGCAGAATAGAGACAGTAGAATGCCATGAATGTGGGATGCAAAAATCAAGGCACGCAATAGATTAGGTGGGGCCGATGGTATATCTGAGTATCTCTTCCCTCCTTGTCATTGGCACATTTCCACTAAGAGCTAAGGAACAATCCTAATCTAGCTAGGCACATTTCTTTCCGGAGCCTCACAATTTCCCAGTAAACATCATGAACTGTAAAAAGACACAAGAAAAGGGCTGTATTAGGACCAGCAATTACAGGGAACTGTACATATGAGAAGCACTGTACTTAACTTACCTGAGCTTTTGACAAGGCCTCGTTCAATGTACCGCAAATAATTCAAAAAGTCGATCACAGCAGTTATCTGTGGAACAGAACAAAGTTATAAAATTGCTTTCATGCCGTCACAAAAATACGAAAAATTATGCTTTTTACAAGGATAACATAGGATAACGTTCACAAAAACTATACTTACTCTATTTCTGCATATTTGTGAAATGCTATACCATGTGTCTTGATCCCCAAGTTTCATACGGTAATGGCACGGACGAGGAACTTCAAGCAATGCACATTTCCTGTGAAACAAGGAGTGTGAGAAAAAGAAACTTGCGTAGTAAAATAAAAAATAGTAAAACTAAATAATCATACTTACTTAGGGAATGCAGTTTTGCTCCTGTCTCCAATTGCCTCAATGTAAATGTTTCCAGCCTCAACAGCCCTCTCAACTCGTTCAGCAAGCTCTTTATTGTTAAAATCGAGGCAAAGGTTGATGTCTTCAAAATACACACGGGCCACAAAAGGATTGCTTTTGTCAAGGGTCGGGTTCTGCCTCCAGGCCAGGAAATCTCTATGAACGTTTGGGTCCACCTACGGAAAGAAACCATGATTTGCATCTTATTTCGATGAGCGTTGCCCTCAGGCAGAAGCCAGAACCAGAGAGCTCGGCCTGTCGACTCACCTCCACGCCGTCCTTGGCCTCCACCTGGTCGTGGGCCGCTTGGGCCGGTGGCTGCACGCAGCCTGCCGAGGCCCCGGGGGCGCTCTGCGAGTGGCTCTGCGAGTGACTCTCCTTGACGGGCGAGTCGGGAGGGGAGTTCTCGCGGCCGTACTTGAGGTTGAAGTGCGAAGGTGACCGCCGGTGCTTCCGGAAGAGGCCGCCGCCGCCGCCGCTGTCGTCGCAGGACTTGGTCTTGTCGATCTGCGGGTGCAAGTGCGGGTTGGGCCGCGCCGGCGTGGACGTGAGCACCAGGGTCTTGAGGGCGGCCACCTCGGCCGTCAGCACCTCCACCTGCATGCGCGCCTCGGCCAGGCTGCGCTCCGCGCTCGCCTTCCCCGTGTTGGCGTCGCGCACCATGTTGTGGGCCTCCTGCAAGACAAGCAAGGCGTCAGCGCGTCGGCATGCGTCAGGGCTAGCCAGGGCCGGGGAGAGGAGGGCAGCCTACGGTGCCAAGTACTCCGAAAAACATTGAAAGAACCAACATTATTTGATGTTAAGAAATCTAGTTAAATCGCTATAAACACGCCAAAACAAAATTTCAACTTGAAATTAGAGGGCGAGGCGCGCGTGCGCGTGCCTGCACTGCCAACGGTGCGCGGCAACAGCCTAGCCTAGGGGGCGAGGGGCACGAGGGGCACGACACAAGAGCTCTCGGCCCCACGAGTCTCACAAAGCAAAGCAGTGTGTCACGCCGCCGGCTGCAGGGAGCAGTGAGCAGCGGAGTGAAGAGCTTCCTTTCCAACCCGAAACACGAGCCTGTTGCGGGCAAAATGTGCCACCTTCGACTTTGACGCCCACTTCATTGGTGACACTCGCGCGCGAGTTCCAAGCGTTTGTTTGCGACGCTTCAACTTTCCCTGCCTCATCGGAACGACATGATTTTGGGAGTCGGAGCGAGGACGAGTGGCGACCTCTGGGCCCAAATTCCACGAGGGAAGTCCCAGCCGCGCCTCGATGCGTACACTGTGAAACACGCACACTGTGAAACCAAGTGGTGGAGAACTCCACACTTGAAATGCGGAGGTGTGCAATTTTCAGTCTCCACACTTCAAGTGTGGGGTCCTCCACGTGAGCACCATGCCACGAGCTGTGGGGGCTTCGCGAGCTTCCCCACACCGATTTATGGAGACGGCAAACCCCACGCGTCCAAGCGCGGAGAATCACTCCGCACCAGGAAGTGAGGAGTTCTCCACACTCGGTTTGACAGTGTCTTGACATCGCGACGAAACTGGACGAAACGCAACGCGCACAGCGACTGACACCGTGAGGCATTCGCATTCGCGGCGGCTCGTTGGCGCTGCGCGTCGTGTAGCGCGTCACGTTGCGTCGGGTGGCTTCTGTTTGGCAAGCGGCCTGCCGGGCGCTGGGCCGGGCCTACTCACCTGGAACAGGCTGGCGGTGAGCTCCTCCAGCTCGGCCTCCACCTGGTCGCGGATCCTCGACAGGCGCGTCACCTCCTCGTCGCGCAGCTTGAGCTCCTTGTGGGCGCTGCGGAGCTCGTCCTGGAGGCGCGAGAAGGCCTGCTCCTTGGCCTCGGCCACGGTGCGGTTCCAGCCCGCACTCAGCCCGGCCCCGGCCTCGACCTCGGCCTCGGCCTGCAGCGCCTGCAACACGACACGGCACCGTAAGGCACACCGCGCACACCGCCAGCCACAGCGGGAGGTCGGGAGGGCGGCGCGCTCCCGCCCACCCATCCGTGCTCGCCGACACTGCCAGTGGCACGTCACCGCCGCAGTGGCGGCCACACTGTGACACGGCCACAGTGTGGCGGCCACAACGCCGTACCGGTGGCTTTGCTTACCGGGTGCTCGGCGTCCTTGGCCACCTCGGGGAACAGCTCCTTGCGCGGCGTGCCGCTGGGGGTGCCGCTGGGGATGGCCGCGTCGCGCCCCGCCTCCCGGTCCTCGTCATCCTGGGACAGCTGCTTGGGCGTGCCGCCGGGCGTGCTGGAGGGCGTGCTCGCCGGCGTGCTCAGTGGCGACCCGATCGTGAAGGTGGCGCGTCTCGGCGACGCCGTGCTGGACAAGTCACTCGTCACCTGTGCAAGGGGACGCCGTCTTCAGGAGCAGTTCGCGAACCGTGTCACACTGTCTTTCTCACACTCCCTTACTGCACACACATTCGGCGTACCTTGAGCTCCTGGAAGGTGGGCGGGCCGGACGCGGCGGAGGAGGTGGAGCCGAGGCTGGAGCCGAGGCTGGAGCCGAGGCTGGAGCCTAGGCTGGCGGGGCCGTCCCTGGCGGCCGAGAGCGCGGGCTCCTCCGCGTCGCCGAGCAAGCCGGACGCGCCGCCGCCCAGGTTGCCCAGGCTGCCCAGGATGGCGTCGTGGCCCGGGTGGCCCGGGTGGCCCGCGGCCAGCGACAGCGGCTGGTGGAGGAAGCCATGGGCCGGGAAGCCGAAGAGGCGGCCGCTGCTGATGACGGACAGCTGGTCGTGCTCGGCGTGCTCGCGGAGGTGCAGCGGCTCGTGCAGCTCCTCGTCCGAGTTGATGCTGTCGTAGCCCTCCTCGCCGCTCGTGCTGTTGCTGGTGCTCGTGCGCTCGTAGGTCTGCGACGGGTCGCGCACGCGGTGCACGCGCTGCTTCCTGCAAAGTGTCGTTGACTTTAGTCCGCTTTTCAAAGACGCCTGCGTGGTTTCACAACAGTGAAGGGGATGGCTGCAAGTTTGGAGTCGCGAAGACAGGGGACGGCGGACTTACACCACGCCGTCGGCGAGCTGCTCGTGGTCGGCGAGGCCCTCGGCGAGGCGCGCCAGGTGCGGGGGATCCTCTGCCGGCTTGATGACGGGGTCGATGGCTTTCATAGTGCACGCGCGCTGCTGCGGACCGCCGCCACCATCTGCAACACACAAGACGCGCCAATCAGACAACGAGTTGAGGGGAATGGAAGGAGAGGGAGCGTCACAAAGCGGTGTGCAAATGGGGAGGGAAGGAAATAAGGAAATAAAAATACAGACATGAAAATAGAGAGGAAGAGCACGGCCAGCACGGCACGCCGCGCTTTCACGACGACGAAACGCGCCGAAAGAAGAGTCAAGCGAGGCTTCCCATGCCGCGCCGGCCGCGCCACACGGCCCCGCCGAACCGAGCGGAAGGGACGGGCTTTAGGGGCGCGGCGACGCCGAGGCCTGTCTCCCTCGCACCCCTGAGGGACCGGCGGGACCGGGACGGCACGCCCCGCGAGTGCGAGAGAGACGGAGCGACGCGACGGCGCGATCCGGAACCAGCCTGCGCGGTCCCCGGCCCGGCGGTGGTCGCACGCCCGCCACGCCCGCCACGCGCGGCGACGGTAGGCGACGGCAGACAAAAGGGAACAGAATAAGGGGAACCCCCCCGATTCGGTACTCTGCCGACTGATTCCGAGTGTCGCTTTCGTCGCTCGGTCTCTGTCGCACTCATGGGGCGTCCCTACCAGGTGCGAGAGAGACAGCGCGATGGAAAAGGCTCTCGGAATCAGTCCGCTGGGACAGAAGCCCTCGAAGCCCGAGCAGCGCCGCTCTCTGAATGGTGCTGCCAATGATGTGCTGCCGGGAGCGCCGTCGAATAAGGCAAGTAAGCCGGAGGGTAAATGAAAAAAAAAGAAAAATAAAGGGTGGCAAATTTTGGAGACTGTAATCTCCATCCCCCACAGCGAGACCCCCTCACACGTCACGAACACGGTCTCGCCCTCGTGCACGGAAGTTTAGTTTCTCGAAGGAATGCGACGCCGCCAGCACACTGATTCCGAGAGGCGTTTCCATCGCTCTGTCTCTCTCGCACCCATCCGGAGCGCCCCATGAGTGCGAGAGAGACAGAGCGACGAAAACGCCTCTCGGAATCAGTCTACAGTGCAGAGACACACAACGCAACCGCCGCGGGCATGTGAGTTGCGAGGAGCGGAGGGCGGAGTGGCGCACCGCGTCCGCGGCACTGCAAACTTTGCCAAAATGCACGGATGGGGTATGGCGCCGCGAGGCGCCCGGAATGACGCCGTATGACAAAAGTTGAGGCAGACTTCCAACATTCCGATCCTGCGAGACAGACTCCCAACATTCTCATCCTGCGTTGAAAACTCTCGACTGGGCATTTTCCGCGGTTCAGGGTGGGGGCGTTTCTGTATGCGGCTCAGTGGCCGTCGGGGCGGCCATTGTGCCACGCCACTGCAAAGGCGACCGCGGCCCCGCCCCGCCCCGCCCACACTGGTTTGCACGCGGCTCGCGACGAGGCTGCCTAAGTAATTAGGCCATTATCATTTCCCCCCCCCCCCACTCAGCGCGCTGGGAAAGCACGCGCCTTTCTTTGACCGGCAATTAGGGCGTCCGCGACGACGCCGAGCTTCGCGACGACGCGGAGCTTCGCGATGACGACCGAGCTTTGCCGTGACGTCGAGCTTTGCCTGCCATGACGCCTAGCTTCACAATCACGCCGAGCTTCACGATGACGACCCGAGCTTCGCGATCACGCCGAACTTCACGATGACGCCCGAGCTTCGCGTCGACGCCGAGCTTCGCGACGACGCCCGAGCTTCGCGAAGCCGAGCTTCACCAGCTGAGCGAGGCCGCGGTGGAGAACGCGACGGACGCCCACGACGTCATCTTGGCTGGCGTGCCGAGCGTGCCGCGGTCAACGAGTCACCGCGTCACCGCGTCACCGCGGTCAGCGCGGCCAAGCCAGGCCGAGCCTCTGCCGGATGGCGGTGGCGGATATTATTAGAGGGGGCAGTGCAGGCAATGCATGTCGAGCGCCCTGCCGGCCGGCCGCAGAGGTTGACGTGCTGTAGACTGATTCCGAGAGTCGTCTTCGTCGCTCCGTCTCTCTCGCACTCATAGGACGTCCCGTATAGGTGCGAGAGAGACAGAGCGACGAAGACGACTCTCGGAATCAGTCTGCAGGCCGACTGTCGGCGTGGCGCGCGACGTGCACGTCAACCTCCACGGCGGGGCAATTCGAGCTCGTTGCCCGAGTCAGCGTTAACAAAGCCAGGCGAAGCCAGGCGACGCGACACAAACGGCCGGGAAAGCCGACACTTGCACAAAAAGCGGCATAATTCTGCACCGCCGGCGCGAAAAAAAAATCCGAATCTGAATCTAACGACCAGCACGTTTCTTTAAAATACGTTTCCGCTGCCGAGGGCGCAGGTTATCACCTCGCCGGGTCAAGTCGTGGCTGCAAAAATGCTTTTCCGAGGAATTTATCGCTGCATGACGGCGTGCCGGGCGTGCCCCTCCCCAAGGCAAACTCCCAGTTCCCACGCCCCTTAGACGGGCCGGCCGGGCGGTGCACTGACTCCGAGAGTCCTTCTCGTCGCTCTGTCTCTCTCGCACTGACACGGGACGCCCCATGAGTGCGAGAGAGACAGAGCGATGAGGACGACTCTCGGAGTCGGTCTGCAGGGCAGGCCGGGCAGCCCGGACAGGTGCGTGGGAGCGCCTGACGCGCGGGGCGACGCCGTCGGACGCCGTCAAACCAACCAACGAGGACGGGTCCTTGCCCTGCCACAACGGGGTCCTGCCGGGAAGAGCACCGGGTGGTTTCGGTGGGAGTTTAGTGCTCAAGTCGGCAGGCGTTTAGGCTGAGAAGAGTTTGGGGTCGGTGGGAGCTTTGGATGAGCGGGAGATGGATCGGTGGGTGCTGGGCCGGGAGTTCGTCTTCGAGGTCGCGGTGCAAGATTGAAGGAAGGACGGGGTGCCATCTGTCATCATGATGCCGCCTTGAACGGTGCTCATGGAGCGACGCTGCAGCTCTCCCTCGCCGCCTCATACGTCACCTGCATCAGACTGAGCACCGCATCGGCGCTCTGTCTCTCTCGCCCTCTCGGGATGTTGTGTAGGAGTGCACGACACGGCATCAGCCTGGAGCGAGGCGACCCGCGGCAAACCGCAGTCCCACCCCGCGCCAGCCGCAAGGAGAGACGGGGCTTCGGCACGGCGCGGCACGGCGCGGCACGGCACGGCACATTCCTTTCACCGCCCTCACCGCCTGCCTGAGCCCCGAACAGGGGGCAATCTCTAAGCGCCCCACTCAAAGCAAGGCGCCCCGACCCCCAACGACATCACAGTGTAATAACATTGAGGAAAAGCAAAGACGTCCTTCGCGTAAATAAGGAAAAGGGGCCATTCGAGCCACTTCAAAGAATCGATGATACGAAAACCCACCGACCGAAAACTTGCAATCTCTCTTGGCACCTTAATTTTTTCGCGAGACGAGACAAAGTGCTTTCGGCGGACAGCAGCAATCCAGACGCCTTCGAAGCAGGTTCGTCGAAGGATTGTCGTGCGTGGGTCGTGGTGGGCGTTAGCGATAGGCCATCAAATCTTGACACCGTAAATCCAAAGGCAATACTTTTGGTACCTTTTTTGGCGATACAATTAGGTATCGCCAATAAACGGCCTTACGAAAAAGTATTGCCTTCAAAACGGCGATACACAAAAGTATCGCCAAAATTCGGCGATACTTTGGAGTATTGCCACAATTTGGCATTAAACGTTGAACAAATCAAGGGGACAAGTTCCTAGTTCAATGCCGTGGTTTTGGCAATACCAAACAGTATCGCCAAATTTTGGCGATACTTCTGTGTATCGCCGTTCTGAAGGCAGTACTTGTTCGTAAGGCCGTTTATTGGCGATACTCAATGGTATCGCCGAAAAATGTACTCAAGTATCGCCTTTGCATTTGCAGTGGACGCGCTCTCCCATCACGCTCATGAGCAGGATTGAAATTATTGGCGGGAGTGAGTGGGCCTCCTCGAGGGAAGTGCCGCGCCCGGCGCCTCATCAGCAGGGCGCGAGGCAGGGCGGGGCGGCGCTCCATCACATCATTAATCAGCGGTGCGAAGTGGAGGGGCGGGGCGGGGCGGGGCGGGGCCGTTACCCCGCCTCTCATTAGCCGTGCAGCAAGCCGAGGCGGCGGCAACGGGGCTGTCCTGTCCCCAGCTCGGTCGCGACAGCAGCCTGCACGCGCCTCGGGCGAGTCAAGGCATCCCCGCCGCTCTGGAGCTCTGGAGCTCTGGAGCGTGTTGCCGCCCTTCCCTGCCACCCAGAATGAGCGCGCGGAGGGAGCGGCCCGGGAGCCGGAAGGGAAAGGGGGAACGGGAGGGGGAGAGGAAGGGAGAGAGGGAGAGAGAGAGAGAGAGAGAGAGAGAGAGAGAGAGAGAGAGAGAGAGAGAGAGAGAGAGAGAGAGAGAGAGAGAGAGAGAGAGAGAGGCGCATAAAGTACTCCGGTAAATGGGCGCAGTACCTCACGGCGGCAGGCAGACGGGGTCGCGGCGAAGCCGATCGCCCCGCTGCACGCAGAGGGCGAGCTAGGACCCACGGGGGAGCGCGAATAGTGGAGGGGGCAAGGAGGGGGGGGGAATGTGACCAGGCAACACCCATTGGGGTAATCCGGCCGGCTAATCCACTCAGATAAGGGCAGGAGGCAGGCGGGCTGCACGCGCGCAACAACGACTGACCCCGCCTGGCAACCGTGTGGCCGCGTGTGGCGCGGCGCCTGGTTCTGCAGCCAGACGGCAGTGTGGGCGCCGAGCCACGCCGAGCGCCAAAGCGCGGCGCTGTGCCGGCTGTTGCCCTGGCTGCATCGCACTGCAGTCGCTTCGCTGCAGTGATTCCGAGAGTCGTCGCTCTGTCTCTCTCGCACTCATGGGGCGTCCCGTGTAAGTGCGAGAGAGGCAGAGCGACGAAGCCGCAGCGCAGACGGCGGGGCCGCGGTGCCTGGCGCGGACGACCGTCGCCTTGCAGGCCAAAGTCAAGGCCGGCAGGGCCGACCGATAGCAGGGGGCACCTCCGGCCCGGCCCGGCTCAGCCGGACGCGTCGGGGAGGCAACGCGCGAAGGCGCGAGGCGCTCTCGCCCTGCCGCACCAGCATCGCGGGGAGCGGGGCGGGGCGGGGCGCCCGGAGGGACGACTCTGGAACCGTCCCGCCAAGCCGCGCTGCCTCGCAGTGTGGTCTACCCTGTCGTTGGCAGGCGCCTCCGCGGCCCGGACTCGCCCGGACGAGACACGCCACTGTCGAACCAAGAGACAGAGCGAACCGCAGCGCCTCAACTGAAGAGGCCTGCTCCGAGCAGACGGGTCCTATTCTCCAGCCGAATCGAAGCCACCCGAGCCGCTCCAGTCCGACCCAACCGCAACGTTTAGTCGAGGGGCTTAATCATTAAACCGTCTCCCTGGCTCTCCTGCACCGCCTGCTCCGCACGGGGAGCCCCACGGGTGCGAGAGAGACAGAGCGTTCGCAGTGCAACGATAACGCGCTGCGGTGCGGCGCTCGTGCCGCTGCATGTTTCACGAGACAGAGACACGGGCAGAGAAGCACGGCGAGCGGAAATGTGGGTCGGGACACGCCGTCTCTCTCTACGCTGTCCAGCACACTGATTCCGAGAGTCAGTTGCATCGCTCAGTCTCTCTCGCACCTATATGGGCCACCCCGTGAGTGCGAGAGAGACAGAGCGACGAAAACGACTCTCGGAATCAGTCTGCAGAGAGAGAGAGAAACGCCGAGGGCATGTCAAAGCCTTCCGAGAAGGACTGAGGGAAAAGCGTCGCACAGCTGGTTTTCAAAACAAAGCGGTTGTCGGCGTATTTACCTGTGCTCCCTCAACAAACGACGCTAGTCCAGCCAGGATCTGCAATCAAAACAGAGCGAGGGAAAATTAGAATCAGCTGGTCTCCTTTTTCCCTCTCTTTTCACACAGCGACAGCAGCACTCCGCTTCGAAGCGCGCGTCGACGTGCTCGGCGCCACCCGGCCCCGTCGCTGCGCGCTGCGCCGCCAGACGCTCCGTCTCTCTCGCACCCCCACGGGCCGCGGGCCGCTCCGAGGGTGCGAGAGAGACGGAGCGACGACAGTGGCGTCAGCAGCCGTCGGCACGCTCATGGAGAATAGATACTTTCTGCGGGGCGCTGTCTCGCCCGTCCTTGTCATGCGGAGCACAGTGGGCCAGAAAGACCGCTGGAGGCAGAAAAAATTCGAGACGCGTTTTGAGATCTAGAGCAGCTAAACAGGACTCGAACCGAACGTGTGACCCCACCCATGGATTCCTCTCCGAACGAGGAATCCATTATTGGTGGGGTCACACGATCGGTTCGAGGCCTGTTTGGCGACGCTGGAGCTCAAAACGCGTCTAGAATTCCGGTCTTCTGGCGCACTGTGCGGGGCGGTGCGGAGGCACGGAGCGCCTGCGAGGTAGGCAGCGCGCGGCGCGGCAAGACTCCTGCGTCGAGGGGTTGCCTACCCCGCACTCCGCGGGCGCTCCCACCCCGGCCGAGCCGCGACGCCGCGACGCCGCGACCCGAGAGAGCTCAGCTCTCAGAGCTGCCGCCGCCACCCCGACGACCCGACACTCCGACGACGCTTTGCGGCGGAGTCTGGTCAGCGAATCCTTCGGCAGGGCCGGAGAAACACCAGAGAATCCTCCAGTGTGCACACCCAAAGCCTTGCGCAGTGTTCTGACCACTTCGACCCCTCGTCCTCGCGCAGCGCGATAATCTCGATACTTCTCTTAGGAAGGGTCGCTAGTATGTAACGCGGCAACTTTTTAGTTTTTCAAACGAAGAGATAGTTCTTAAATGGAGAAGTACATTTTCCTTTGTAAGGTTACGTATGCTCAAAATTCTTTGTCATGACAAGCTTTCTTTCTTTGTAAGGTCTTTAAAATAGTTCGTAAGGTTTTGAGAGTGGAATCTCCGCAGCGGCGATAAGCATCACGCATGAATCGGCCCTCCATCAGCGCGCCTAGAAAGGGGCGAACTCGTTAGGGACGGCGCTCCCTGCAGCCCCATTTCAAAGGCGGCTTCGTCTCCCCGTCTCTCTCGCACCGCTACGAGCCGCCACACGGGTGCGAGAGAGACAGCGCTGGTATCAGTATCGGTGCGAGTCTGCTGCCGCTAACGACGGGCCACACTCCGCTGGAGAGCTTACCTCTCTCCCTCTCACACACTCGTGCGGCGCCCCGTATGGGTGCGAGGTACGCAGCCCGATACACGCTCCCTTTACGAGTGCTGCAGCTCGCTTGCCAGCAGCCTCTCCTTTCCCTTCGCTCGGTAAGTAATCCTCTTGGCAACCTCATCACGCAACGCCCAAATTCATTAGCCAAATAATCAGGCGCCGCGCTGCAGCGCCCCGAGCAGCGAGAGCGCTCCAGCTGCCCCTCGGAAAAAGCTAATTCGAATAAAGCGGCCAGCCCGCCGGCCGGCTCGCGAGCACTCTAAACAGTGCAGGCAGGCGGGCGGCGGGCGGGCAGGCAGCCAGTGAGCCCGGCTTTAGTTTCCGCCATGCACTCGCGATTGAAAGGCAGCCAATTAGCCCAATTACTCGCACTTGTGCAGTGGGCTGGCGGGGCTGGCGGGGCTGGCGGGCCGCGCCGGCATCGCATTACCGACTTACGGTCCGCCGCCTGACGCAACGCCGGTCACCCTGTCAGTCTGTCCGTCCGTCCGTCACAAGGAGTGAGGAGCCCCATTACCTGACATAACCCCGCAACAAGTAATTGAACCGCTCCGCATGCGCTGCGGGCTGGTCGCTCTGTCCCTCTCGCAAGGGACACCTCATGAGTGCGAGAGAGAGAGAGAGAGAGAGAGAGAGAGAATCTGCGCCGTCGGGCCCTTTGTCCGCGAGCGGGGCGAGCGGGGCGACGGAGAGGCTTTGACCGGCAAGCCACCTCACTTAGGCCTCCGCAAAGTGGCGGAGGGACACCCCGCGCTGATGGGCTGCCGAGTGGGCATCGGATTGCGACAGGCAGCCAGGTGCGCGGGGCAATGCACAGTGGGCCCAGAGACGGCGGAGGCGGCCAAAATCCCGAACGCGTGTTGACTTTAGGCATCCACTGCGTCTGATTCGAGGCGGTATTTCGTCCTCCCTCAACGGGCAATTGGAATTTGGACCTTCCTTTAGCATGCCTTTCTTACGGAGTGCGATTATCTGCCTTAGTTTGGGAGCAGTATTGCCGCAAAGTTGTTCAAAACGGTCACAAATGTCTGAAAAATCGTGTTTTGATCAACTTTGACACAATACTGCTCCCAAACTAAGGCCGATAATCGCACTCCGTAACGAAGGCATGCTAATGGAAGGTCCAAAGACCAATTGCCCGCTGATGGAGGACGAAATACCGCCTCGGATCAGACGCAGTGGCTGCTTAAAGTCGGCCCAAAACACGATTTTTCAAAGACATTTGTGACTGTTTTGATCAACTTTGCGCCAATACTGCTCCCAAACTAAGGCGAGATAATCACACTCCGTAAAAAAGGCATGCTAAAGGAGGGATCGCGTGGGGTCGCGAAATTTTTCCTGGGGGTCGCGGAAATTTTTGGCTATAAATTTAGGGTCGCGAACCGAAAAAGGTTGGGAACCGCTGATCTATTGGTGGGGTCACAGTACTGTTTGAGTCCTGTTCGCGACTCTGGGGCTCAAACGTCCGGGATTCCGGCCCACTGTGCAGTGTGGCATTCTCCCCGGACGACGGGCAGTGCATCGCAGTGCTCGCGGGAAGGGCTGGAGCCGTCGTCGCTACTCACTCCGACCCACTCCGCGAGCGCGCAGCGAGTATGAGTGAGAGAGAGGGAGATTCTCTACCTCCGTGCCTCCACAGCGTCGACTCAATCATCAATACTGTACGACGTGCATCGTCACTGCAGCAGCCCCGCTGCATTCCGATGGCGCTTGGGCGTGGCGGGGCGTGGCGGGGCGTGGCGGGGCGTGGCGGGGCGTGGCGTGGCTGGGCGTGGCTGGGCGTGGCGGGGCGTGGCGTGGCTGGGCGTGGCGGGGCGTGGCGGGGCGTGGCGGGGCGTGGCGGGGCGTGGCGGGGCGTGGCGTGGCTGGGCGTGGCGGGGCGTGGTGGGGCGTGGCTGGGCGTGGCTGGGCGTGGCGGGGCGTGGCGGGGCGTGGCGGGGCGTGGCGTGGCGGTCCTCGCGGCAAGCCAACCTATCTGCGGTATGGATCTCTCTCTCCGCGGGTCGGTAAGCTGCCCCCCCCCCCCCCCCACACACACACACCTACTACGCCAGCATTTTATTGGCCTCCGTGCGGCTTTCCAGTAATCAGATACGACATCATGAAGCATGAAGGCTTCGAGCGTGGCGCGGCGCCGAAAGCAGGCGGCGGTGGCGGCCAAAGGCGGGGCTCATAGAGGCTGCGTGCGGGGCGCGGCCAAAGGCGGAGAAAGTGCCGCCCCGCCCCGCCCCGCCCCGCCCAGCCCCGCCCCGCCCCGCCCCGCCCCGCCCCGCCCCGCCCCGCCACTGCCGACAAGATTGAATGCCGGTCATTTTGCCTCCGGCGCACTCATTGCCGAGAGCACCGCGAGCACACGGAAAGAGAGAGAGATACAGAGAGAGAGAGAGAGGGAGAGAGAGAGGGAGAGAGAGAGGGAGAGAGAGAGGGAGAGAGAGATGGGGGGGAGAGAGAGGGGGGAGAGAGAGAGTGTGAGAGAGAGAGAGAGTGAGAGAGAGAGAGGGGGAGAGAGAGAGAATGAGAGAGAGAGAGAGAGGGAGAGAGAGAGAGGGAGAGAGAGGGAAAGAGAGAAGCTACCGGCGCGGTGTTGGGTGTTGACGCATGGCGGCGGCGCGGCGGCCAATGATCCTGAGAGTCTGTCTCTCTCACACCCCCACGCCCAAATGAGTGCGAGAGAGGCAGAGTCCGCTGCACCGGGAGCGACAGCGCCACGTAGTGTAGTGGCGGGTCTCTTCGTATACGTGCGCCTGCTTCGGATGCGGAGAGTCAGCGTCATTTTCGCCGCGCTGTCTCTCTCTCACACACTCGCGGACTGAGGCGTGGGGGTGCGAGAGAGACAGCAACGAAAACGATCTCGGAATCCGCGCGCTTCGCCGCTTTCCGAAATACGCGAGGCGGCGTGCGTGCCGCGCGCCGCGGTGCCGCGGGGGAAAGCGGCTCGGCAAAAAACATAAACAAAAACAAAAACACGAGGCGCGACGCGCGCAAAGCCAAGCCAAGAGGAGCGGCACGAGGAGGAAGGGACGCGCGTCTTGGCGAAAAGTGATTCCCGCTGGCGTGCGTCGCATCGCGTTCTGCTCGGAATGAAAACCTTATGCAAGCCGCCGCGGACGGGGCGGGGCGGGGCGGGGCGGGGCCGCAGGGAGGAGAAAGGGGTGAGGGGAGGGGAGGGGAGGGGGCAGGACCGGCCCAAATCCCAGCAGTCACCGGCGAAGTGACGCAACCACACGCGCGGTGCCGCGGTGGTGCCCCAGTGTACCCGCCCTCCTCGGGCACAGCGTCACGCGCACGTCACGCGCCAGGCTCGCGACGCACGCGTGTGTTGACCCGTGACGCAAACGGGCGGCGGCATTCCGACGCGTCGCTCTGTCTCTCTCGCACTCGCGGGGCGGCCCGTAGGGGTGCGACAGCGACAGAGCATGCTGTTCGGAGGACAACATGAGGTTCGCTCCGATCGTTGCGTTCGTCGCTCCGTCTCTCTCGCACCCGAGAGGCACCGGCTCGCTGCTAAAACAATCAATCATAGAGGCCTTTCGGGTCTTTTCCTCGACGTTCGAACGGCCCATGGCCGCCTATGCCGCAGGGAGTGCAGCTCCTATTACCCGAAGGACGTGAAGGGCGGCATGGCCAAGGCTGGCCGGTAGAGAGGGATGTAACTCACTCAATTGTAGCGCTGCTGCTC